TTTCTGAGGACTAGGTATTGTTATTGTGTCAGTGTAAAGCGACAGAATTACAGTGTGTGTGTGTGTGTGTGTGTGTGTGTGTGTGTGTGTGGGTGTGGGTGTGTGTGTGTGTGTGTACAGAGGAGAAACTGTCTTATGAGAACAGGGACGTCAACAATAATAATATAAATATATAGTTTTGTTAACAGTTGTTGTCGCGTGTAGAAACTGTATTAGTATATGTGATGCAAGATTATTGTTGCTGAAGAAGAGACGGAGACAGGTGGAGGCAGGTGGAGGTAGATGGAGGTAGGTGGAGGTAGGTGGATGTAGATGGAGGCAGGTGGAGGTAGGTGGAGGCAGGTGAAGGCAGGTGGAGGTAGATGGAGGTAGGTGGAGGCAGGTGGAGGTAGGTGGAGGCAGGTGAAGGCAGGTGGAGTGGTGGAGGTGGACGGAGACAGGTGGAGGCAGGTGGAGGTAGATGGAGGTAGGTGGAGGTAGGTGGATGTAGATGGAGGCAGGTGGAGGTAGGTGGAGGCAGGTGAAGGCAGGTGGAGGTAGATGGAGGTAGGTGGAGGCAGGTGGAGGTAGGTGGAGGCAGGTGAAGGCAGGTGGAGAGTCCCTACTACAGAACCAGTTTCAATTTCAAGTCGTCAGTCCTTAAGGTGCTACGACACTGTTAGAAAGGTGTGTGTGTGTGTGTGTGTGTTGTGGTGGTTAGGTTAGGTTAGGGTGATTAACCTTAAGGTGGAAATAAACAAGGGTGTCTAATCTTCAGGTAATCCGATAATCAAATTGCAACTACATATATGTTAAGATATGTTAGAGAAATGGCAAGAGGTGAGGAATGAAGGAGGGGAATGATGATGGGATTCTACTATAGGGAGATAAGGAATCAGAGTAATATGATAAAGATGACTAATGTTGCCCCTGGGATGGAAAGGAAGAAGAGAGGAAAAGGTTGAACTGAACTAGATATTGTTGTTGAGGTGACCATGATAACAGTGGTAGTGAAGCGACAGTGAAGAAACACCTGTGATTGAACCCTTCCATGGCTATGATTTAACCCTTTGATGACTATGATTTAACCCCTTGATGACTATGATTTAACCCTTTGATGACTATGATTTAACCCCTTGATGACTCTGATTTAACCCCTTGATGACTGTGTTTAACCCTTTGAGGACTATGATTTAACCCCTTGATGACTGTGATTTAACCCTTTGATGACTGTGTTTAACCCTTTGAGGACTATGATTTAACCCCTTGATGACTGTGATTTAACCCTTTGATGACTATGATTTAACCCTTTGAGGACTATGATTTAACCCCTTGATGACTGTGATTTAACCCCTTGATGACTGTGTTTAACCCTTTGAGGACTATGATTTAACCCCTTGATGACTGTGATTTAACCCTTTGAGGACTATGATTTAACCCTTTGAGGACTATGATTTAACCCTTTGATTATAATGTTTTTAACCCTTTAGAACTCAAAGGGTTAAGGTAGATATATTTACGTTATACTTGTAAACACCAAAGAAATGAAATAATTGTTCCTGTGTTGGTGTGGTCATGTGGTGGTGTGGTCATGTGGTGGTGTGGTCATGTGGTGGTGGTGGTGGTGTGGTCATGTGGTGGTGTGGTCATGTGGTTCATGTGGTTCTGTGGTGTGTGTCATGTGGTGGTGTGGTCATGTGGTCGTGTGGTGGTGTGGCCATGTGGTGGTGTGGTCATGTGGCTCTGTGGTCGTGTGGTGGTGTGGTCATGTGGCGGTGTGGTGGATAGACTCTCAGCCGCATCATCTTGTGGTTACATTAGTATTCTGTTGACGTCTCTTCAGTCCTTCAGGTCAACAACGTTCACCGACCAACCACCACCACCACCACCCTACTACCACCATTACCACCAACACCCCTACTACTACCATTACCAGTACTACCACCATTACCAGTACTACCACCATTACCAGTACTACCACCATTACCAGTACTACCACCACCACCACTATCACCATTACCTACCACCACCCTACTACCCACCACCACCCTACCACCACCACCTACCACACCATTACCACCAACACCCTACTACTACCATTACCAGTACTATCACCATTACCACCACCAACACCCCTACTACTACCATTACCACCACTACCACCATTACCACTACTACCACCATGAAATCATCATACAACTTCACATTGGTTCAACATGTATTTAGTGACAGTATACAAACAATGATAAACAGTAATTAGGTGTACAGTATATAGTTAGCTCCTCGTGTGTATAGAACCTGTATACACACACACACACACACACACACTCACACACACACACACACACACACACACTCACACACACACACACTCACACACACACACACACACTCACACTCACACACACACACACACACACACACACACTCACACACTCACACACACACACACACACACACTCACACACACACACACACACACACACTCACACACACTCACACACACACACTCACACACACACACACTCACACACACACACACACACACACTCACACACACACACACACACACACACACTCCCACACACACACACACACACACTCACACACACACACTCACACACACTCACACACACACACACACACACACACACACACACACCACACACACACACACTCACACACACACACACACACACACACAAGGTCCAGGTATGATTGGGGACTAAATCTTACGTCATACATGTTTGCTTTCACTCTTCCTATCTACCCTCCCCTACCCCTCCCTCCCTCCTCCTTCTCCTCCTCACTACCCACCACACCCATTTGCCTACGTGGATACCTTCGCACACACACACACACACACACACACCAACCTACCACTTGTAAGCAAATATAATCTTTAGCTGTTTCGTGTGTGTGTGTGTGTGTGTGTGTGTGTGTGTGTGTGAAAAAGAGAGAATTGGGGTGAGATTTAGCCTAATGCCTGTCAGCAAAGTCAGCTCTTCTCTCCCCTCCCCCTTCCTCCTTCTCCTCCCCCTCCCCTCCTCCTCCTCCTCCTCCTCCAGGGAATTCACCATTACCAAACATCCGTCACAGTAGGAAAAAATTTAATACATAAACACGTAATTTTGTTTTTCGTGAATCAGTTTGTTTGTTGCGTTTTATTGAATCTTTAGTTACGAGCAAAATTCAATGTTTTTTTTTTTTGAGAATTCTGAACCTGATAATGTTGTAGATCTTCAGAGGTGATGTTTGTTTGTTTGTTTGTCTGCTTGGATCACCTATAGATTTACCTAACTTAACTTAATCTAACCTAACCTAACTTAACCTAACCCAACCCAGTCTTACCTAAGCCTAACCCCCCTGTTAGTGTTAAGGATGGTTAATGTTCAGATTAGACAAGTTGGGGGTCTAATCTTCAGGTGATCCATCATGTTTATTGATTACAAGGAAACAAAGTTGACGCACAAGACATAAATGTTGTTATTTACCTCTTCTGTGGACAAGGAGCAAACACTGCTGAGAATGTTTACCAATTGTTCTGTCAGAGAGCAAACGGCGGTGGTGGTGGTGGTGGGGCGACGGCCTTATAAAAATACCCAGAGAATGAAACTTGATGCTGGTTGTCTCTGGTGGCGGCAGGAAGCAAAAAACCTGGTTACCTCTTGTGGTTTCTTTATGTTGAAAAAGTTGATGTTGGTTGTAAGGAAACTTGTGCCGCATGAGGAGTGTAGCGCGTAGTATTCGTCAGGTTTGGTTCTTGCCCGCAACTAACTCTGGTACCCGGGGTCTCTTAAGCATCTGCTGGGGTGTGGACTGTTGGGATTTTTGTTCAGGCACGCGGACTTTTTTTTTTTTTTTACACCGTCAGCGTCTCCCCCAGGCGAGTCGTGACCTGTGTGCTGCTGCTTCCTAGCCCCGAGGGGTAGTGGTGGTGTGGCAGTAGTGTGTGTGTTGGTGATAGATAATGTGTATGTGTACTGTATATGTTTGTGTGTGTGGTAGATAGTGTGTGTGTGGTAATGGTGTGGGGGGCGGTATGGTGGTGGGAGGCGGTGTGATGATAGTGGTGGTGATGATGGATGGATGATGGAGTGTCGAGCGAACGATACCAAACCTTGACGACGGCGGTGACGAAGGCAAACGACTCCCCGTACTGGACAGGCATCAAAGGATAGTTTACGCTAGTCAGAGAATCGGCAGAATAATAATAATACAAAAATATATATGAAAGAGCAGGATAGTTCAGGAGGCAGTGAAGGGATCATAACCTCTCTTATCTCTCAACACACTCCCGACCAGAGCTTCGTCAGGTGGGTCATTAAATTAAGGGGCGGTCGCTTTACGTTGGCCCGCATGACTCCCACCACTCCCAGCCTCTCTCACCCAGGACATCCGCCACACACACACACACACAATGTAGTTCTTCCCATCCTGGGAGGTGTGATGCTACATCAATCATTACCATAAACCTGATCATTAATACAGCCACCACTGACCGCCCTCCTCAGCTCCGGGTACAGAAATATCACGTAATGTTGTTTGAGAAACCTTATTGACTCTTCTGGGTTAGGTTGGGTTAGGTTAGTTTAGTTTAGGTTAAGGCGTTCAATCATCAGGTTAAATACGCTGGGGGTGCTTCAACTTAAAGTGATCCTTAGTGTTATTACTGACGATGGTGCGGCTGTTTGTACCTCATTAACTAACTTGTCCGTAACAGCGTCACTCTGGTGTCCACAGATCCATCGCCACCAGCAAGTTCCAGCCGACAGACGCCAGGAGCGCCTTCCCGTGCTTCGACGAGCCCTCCTTCAAGAGCACCTTCACCACCACGCTGGTCAGACCCTCCGACGGCTACATCGCTCTCTCCAACATGCCCGTCCAGGTATGTCAGTGTCATGTGTGTCATATGACCTACACTTAAAGTACTGTCAGTGTCATGTCCTACACTTAAAGTACTGTCAGTGTCATGTGTGTCATATGACCTACACTTAAAGTACTGTCAGTGTCATGTGTGTCATATGACCTACACTTAAAGTACTGTCAGTGTCATGTGTGTCATATGACCTACATTTAAAGTACTGTCAGCGTCATGTGTGTCATATGACCTATACTTAAGTTACTGCCAGTGTCATGTCATTGAGGCAGAGAATTAAGTGACAAGAATAAGTATTATGTCATATTAGGTTAAGTTAGGAATCATGGGTAAATATGGTTTAAGTGATTGATATGTCTCTTGTGGTCCAGAATGAGGTTGCTGAGTCACCTGAAGCAGGGCTGACGAGTGTGGTGTTCGAGAAGTCTGTACCGATGGTCACCTACCTCGCCTGCTTTATCGTCTGTGACTTCGAGTTTGTTGAGACGATGACCAATGATAATAAACCCTTCAGAGTGTATGCCACCCCTGACCAGGTGAGTCACACACACAAACACACACACACACACACACACACACATACACACACACACACACACACACACACACACACACACACACACATTGTGAATTTTTATAATGATTTGAGTAAATATCCATCTATCCATAATTTTATGTATACGTGTATATGTCTGTACGTATGTATGTATGTATGTATCATTTTATGTCTCCGTATGTCTATGTATTTCTCTGTTTGTCAACAGATGAGCAGGACCAACTACTCGCTACACCTGGGGGTCCACGTCCTTAATTACTTCCAGGATTACTTCGAGGTCGAGTATCCGCTGCCCAAACAAGGTGAGTCCAGGTGTGTTCCTAGCCAGGTGTGTTCCGGGCCAGGTGTGTTCCGGGCCAGGTGAGTTCCGGGCCAGGTGTGTTCCGGGCCAGATGAAGGAGTAGGTCGATGAAGAGGGTGTTTGGTGGGTGTGAGTGAGTTGTCACACACACACACACACACACACATACACACACACACACACACACACACACACACACACACACACACACACACATACACACACACACACACACTCACACACATACACACACACACATACATACACACACACACACACACACACATACACACACACACACACACACACACACAAATGACACTCCTGGGATGAACACTTACGTACACACTGTTACACATTATACTATATCCGTCAAGGACCACTGCCAATGACCACTATCAAGGACCACTATCAAGACCACCACCAAGGACCACTATCAAGGACCACGGGTTGAAATTATTCCAGATTCTCCCAAACTCTGATTCTTAAACCCCTTAAACCATCGTCCTCAAAGAATTAAATCACGCTATCACCCTAACTATTATATACAATAACCTAACCTAACCTAACCTAACCCACAGACATGATCGCCATCCCAGACTTCATCTCCGGGGCCATGGAGCACTGGGGCCTCATCACCTACAGGGAGGTCAACTTGCTCTATGATGACCTCGGCTCCTCGTCGTACAACAAGCAGCGCGTCGCAGCAGTGGTGGCTCATGAGTTGGCCCATATGTGGTTTGGTAACTTAGGTGAGTATGGAGGGTTAGTGGGTTGTGTTGTGTTGTGTTGGGTTGTGTTCGGTTGGTTGTGTTGTTGTGTTGTGTTGTGTTGTCTCACCATATGATCCGTTAGATGAGGGTTTCGTATCTTACAGACCCTTGATATAACGGACGTTTCTCTCCATTACATAGAGGTTTTACTGTTGTATTTAGCTCACCACCTCAACCAACTGCAGGAACCAGGCAAAAAGCTTGGAAGATTTATGAAGTACAAAATAAAAGGTTGGTGTATTTTTAACCCTTCAGCTGAGGTTAAGGGAGATACAACACTGGTACAGTCCAGCCTCGAGAGTCAACTTTGGTCCCTCGAGTTATAACTTCACCTAGACTTAGTGCATTGCTTTAGATCTTGATGTGAAGGTTGGTTTAGATGTGTTTAATATTTCTTGTATGTGTTTGTGTGTTAATTTATGTATCTGTGTGATCTCGTGTTTGACTGTGTCCAGTTATGTAGCTTCCTGTTGTAATCACTGTTGTGTCAGTATTAGAGGTCCACTGGAAGAAACATTCATAAATGTTTATGGGTTAAGTTTTTAAACCCAAATGGTATTTTCTCTATTTATTTAGAAAATAAACTATTGCACAATAACTGGGATATGGCCGTAATAAACGCAACGAGCTGTGAACGTTAATAAGGGACGAAGCTCAGGTACAACACACGTCTTGCGTGGGTGAGAGACGGGAGACAGACTGGTGAGAAGCAGGTTAGTTATTGATGATCCAGCAGTCAAGCTGAAGACTCTCAGTGGAAGACACTGTCACGTGTCCAGTTGTTGACTACTCTTGGCTCATAGGCTATTGTAGTTACTCTGGGTGATGTAACTATATAAACCTAATGTATATAACCCACATTTATATAAGTATTACTGTCTGTTTGCCAGGGGCTAATACACACTATTGTGTGGTTCAGTGTTCTTATGTGTAGTAATATATCTTGAAATATTGGTCTATGTGTCGTCTACACCTGTATCTTATTTTGTACCACCACCACCACCACCACCACCCCTACTACTACTACAACTACTACTACTCCTACACACAGTGACCTTGGACTGGTGGGATGACCTGTGGCTTAACGAGGGCTTCGCTAGCTACATAGAGTACAAGGGCGTGGCCAACTACGAGAAGGACTGGGACATGGTGAGTGGTGGCCATAAACTTCCCTGTTAGTATGGGTCAATGAACAGTTTCATAAGTGATAATTCCATTGTTGATATTCTATAAAAACAACCTTAAAATAATAATAATAATAACAAAAATAATAATAACAATAACAGTACAGTAATAACAACAACAACAACAACGTGCTTTATTTTGGGAACATATTCTTCGACAATTTAATAGTAAAATTGAACATACAAATAATTAAGCAGAAGAACACATAAATACAAGAACACAGTTAATACTGTATGTGTAGTAACTTCTTCTTCTACTTGTTCATCATCTTCTACAGGAGGGACAGTTCTTGGTGGACGACTTACAGCTGGTGATGGGTCTAGATGCACAGCTCACCTCTCACCCCATCGTTCAGCCCGTCAACCACCCAGATGAGATCACAGAGATCTTCGATACCATCTCCTACAGTAAGGTCAGTACTGGGGCCTTTAGTGATGCTGTGTCCATGAAGTAGTGATGTTGAGAGGGAAAGAGAGAGTTACATGAAGATAAAGGGAGAGAGAGAGAGACATCTAGATAAAAGAGATAGATAATATGGTTCATATAGATAAAGAGAGAGATAATTCTTCATAACGAAAGGAAGCAAGAGAAAAACAGATCAATCTAGAGACAGAAAGCAAGACCCTAACATCTCAATATCCCCCCAGGGCGCCTCTGTGCTGCGGATGTTAGAAAGCTTCATGGGCTCCGAACAGTTCCGCGTCGGGGTGAGGAACTTCCTGAGAAAGTACAAGTACGCCAACGCAGTGACACAGGACTTGTGGTCGGAGCTGGAGACCGTGTCTGAGGACGGCCTTAAGATCAGTACCATAATGGACTCCTGGACACGTCAGATGGGCTATCCTGTCCTGACTGTCACCACCTCTTCCGCTGATCCTGTGAGTCCTAGTTCAGGTTAGGTTAGGTTAGGTTTATATTAAACAGGTTATGAATTATCCAGGCGACGAAATATCCTACAACCAGAGATTCTTTAGTACACCGTAGCTTAACATTACCGCAACAAAACACCATCATAACTTAAACTAAAGGTCAGGTCACGTTTCCTTGGTACAGAATAAACTGGAGGTGAAACAGACAAGGTTCCTGAGTGACCCGGAGGCAGAGAGCCCAGATGACTCCCCCTACGGGTACGTGTGGGACATCCCCGTCACCTACATCACCGACGTCACCCAGAGGGACCAGCGCTGGTTCTACAGGGACATGGACAAGTGTAAGACCAATGTGTACACAACTTGCCCTGTGTCATGTCCCAATCATAGTTTCCTAAGTCCTAATCATCTTTGCTTTACATAATGTCCCACTCATGAGCTTGTGTTAGCCTTGATCCCAGCCTTCTTGTGTAAAGTTTGTAAGAGTTACATCATTGATAATAGAGATTGAAATATTTAAAGTCCTAAATATTAAGAGAAAGAATAAAAAAATGAGTTTTATTTTGTATTAATATTTGATATAAAAAATCAGCCCAGGTATCTAATTAGTTACGTTTTAACAGTGACCCTGACGAAGCCAGCAGGTGCGTCTTGGGTGAAGATCAATGTTGGTCAGTACGGCTACTACCGGGTCAATTACGAGGCCTCCATATGGCAGGACCTTGTAAACCTCCTCCAGACTAACCCACAGGTAACCCACACCTACAGTAGGCAGGTCATTGCTCGGTCTTTGTGTTGGTATTTTCAACTTTGTTTAAAACTCATCAACATGTAATGGATTGTTTGGAGAAACAACTCCATTATTTGGAGGTTTCACTGTATATCTCTTACTTTTTCTTCTCTGTCTCTCATCTCTCATCCACCATCATCCAGGCCTTAAGTGTGACGGACCGTGCTAGCTTGTTGGATGATGGATTCAACCTGGCTGGTGCTGGCCTCTTGCCCTACGACACTGCCTTGTCCCTGGTCGCCTACATGAAACAGGAGACTCACTACATCCCCTGGACCACCGTCGCCTCGCACCTCGCTAAGATGGGCCGCTTGTTGAGGCAGACCAACGCCTATCCTTACTTCAGGGTGAGTGGAGGAGGCAGGAGGAGGAGGAGGAGGAGGAGGTCATTCTTTTGAGTGTTAACGACATGCTTAGAGAGGTTTACTGATCAAATGAGAAGTAGAATAGATACAGTGACAATGAAATGAAGTTACTATGAATATTTCTCTAACCATAACTAAATACAATATTGTACAGTACAGTATTGCATAACCTACACAATTACTGTAGACTCTAGAACTGAAATGCATTAATATTACCTAAAGTACTACAGGATATATTATCTTTTAAGTGACTGTGGAAGGCAAGTATAGTCAATATTATCCTGGTACATTATAATCATATATGCTGTGTATATATAAATATGTTTCAGAAATACATGGTTGGTTTGGTAAATGATCACGTGGAGCGTCTTGGGTGGAACGACACTGGCAGTCACTTGGAGAGGTGTGTCCCGAGGATGTTTTTCTCTGGTTCATGATGTTAGATGTTGAAAAGAGTAGTGTGTGTGTGGGGGGCTGTGAATCTATGTCTGTGTGTGTGTGTGTGCCAGCAACTTCATCTGTCTCTTGTCTTCCACTCATCACCACATACCCCCCTCCATCAGACGGAACCGGTTGGTGTTGATGTTCCTGGCGTGTAGCAACGGATACGATCCTTGCTTGCAGGGGGCTCACCAACGCCTCCTCAGCTGGGTGAAGGATCCTGAGTACTACATCCCCCCCAACACTCGCTCCCTCGTCTACCAGTTTGGCATGCAGAAGGCTGGTGAGTACCCTGGCTGATAAGTCAAGACTCATTTGATGTTACATAATCCTGCTTTTGGTAAATATATTCAAGTTGACGTTTTTCAGTTAACCCTTTGAGTCTTGGAGGAGTAAATCATCGTCCTCAGAGGGTTAAAACATTAGCATCAAAGGGTTAAAATCTCATCCTCAAAGGGTTAAGTGAGACCAAGTTTTCTTTTATACAAGTGACTGTTTTTTTCAGGGGCGGAGGAGTGGGAGGTACTGCTGCAGAGGTACATGAAGGAGGCCAACGCTCAGGAGAAGACTAAGCTGGCTGTAGGTCTCGCTAACACCAAGGAAGACTGGATTACCCAAAGGTGACGAAAACAAAGTCACTAGTTTTTTAGAGTAACATTTCCAAGTTCAGATGATTTTAAACTTTGGGTTATACAATTTGTCTGTGTGTGTCTGTCTCTGTAAGTTAGCAGTGCTGTATACCCTGGAGGAGGAAGTGTTAGGATGACAGTCTAAAGTGTGACTGTGAGGATTAGATGTGAAAACTGAGGACAATAATTATGGTGGCTTGAGGACATGACGACAGCAGCTGAGGAAAGGAAAGAATACAAGTTTGAAAGGGAATTAAGGCGAGGGTCTAAATGTGGGGTGCGGTTGTCAGGGGTATTGCTGTCCCTCACAGTCATAGCCCCACAGTTGTTCCAAACATATTATTATCACATTTTCCACAGTTGAACCCACATTTTACACTGTACCATTGTTCCATATTATGTCTCTTAACCGCTTTACCACACTCTTACTTACAGGTTGTTGATGTTGGCGAGGAATGAGAGTGTTGTGAGGAGCCAAGACTATTTCTCTCTGCTGAACAACATGGCCAAGCAACCCTGGAACACTCATATCGTCTGGAATTTTGTCAAGTGAGTCACTTCTTGCCCTGAACAATATATAAATCATCAATACATTTTGTTCCACCAATAGGAAAGGATTGTATATAAATTGGTATAAATTATCAATACATTTTGTTCCATCAATAAAAAAGACTATTTAAATTGGCCTAACTTATCATTACACTTTTTTTTTCCAACATATTCATGATTTTTCTCCAGTATAATGTACAGTATTTCAACTTGATTACTTATAAAACAATATACTTTTTTCAGACATATTCAATACAGGTACTTATTGTATAGTATATTTTAACTTAATTACTACTTATGGAACAAAGTATACCTTAGTTTATCATCATCAGATCAAACTGGGAGGAACTGGTGGAGAGATTCACCTTAAATAACCGGTACTTGGGGCGTATGGTGAAGTATGTGTGTACCCGATTTACCTCTCCCGACCAGCTGATGGAGGTACAGTATAAGCTCACCCCCTTTCTGTACCCCACGTAACTCATACGCATACTGAGATATAAAAATAATATATAAAATAATGTGAATATCGACATGTATACAAGCATTAATCATACATCCCTCATCCCTAACTATACGACCAAAGTATCTCATTTATATTTTTCTGTACTTTTCAAGTATTTCTCTTGATGTTTTTGCTATCTTAGTACTTCTTCATTTGTCTTCCTGTCAGTGTAGCTTTTTCTTAGCATTCGCCTCTGACACCATATTCCAAAGGCCTCCAACTTCTCCCTGGTGTCTGTTGAAAGTGTCCACGCTTTTGACCCGTACATCAGTCCTTGACATATGAGGCCTTTCAGCAGCCTTTTTCTCAAATTGAAGTTAATGTCCCTTTTCATTAGGTCTTTAATTTATTAAATGCTGTTTTTGCTGGCCCTATTCTTGTTTTGATGTCTTCCGTACATCTACCATCAAAGCTAATGTTACTTCCCATTATTTTTATTTTAGGATATATTTTCTATTTGGAAACAACTGTTACTTTATTCTTTACAGCATTAACTCTTAAACCATATTTTTCACCTTTTTCCACTAATATGTTAACGATTTTTGTAATGCCTGTTCACTATTTGCATAGCGTATATTTGATATTACTTTACCATTAACTTTCAGTCCTTCATTATCACTTATAACTTCTCTCATTAAGAATTCAGAATATATATTACACAATGTTGGAGATAGAACACAGCCTTGTCTTACTCCCTGTCTTACTTTGAACCAATTAGTAAGTTCATTATTTACTAACACTGTAGCCTCCTGTTGCCAGTAAAGATTCTTCAAAATTTTAATGTCTCCTTTACTTTGTTCATTCAATTAAAACATTTGCATCATTTGTTTTCTTACTCGTGCATATTGTTTATCCCTTCTATGACTCCGGCAGATGAAGGAGTTCTTTGAGAAGTATCCCAACGCTGGGTCAGGTGCCAGGTCACGCCAGCAGGCCCTTGAAGAGGTAGAAGGTAACATAAAGTGGATCAACCAGCACGGTGACTCCCTCTATGATTGGTTCCTGAAGCAGAATAATATCTTGTAAGAAAACGAGAAATGGAAGACGGCAAACTATTATAAAAGATGGCCATAATGTATCCTCATGACCAGGCACACAGCTGGGCACTCTGAGGATTATTAAAACTAAAATAATTTACCTGCAAACTGTAAATGAAATGTTTAATTGAAGAGTAAGTGTATAATAGGACCCTCAGGATAAACAAAATCATCCGGGTTAACTGAAGAACTGTCTAAACTTGGGGATCATCAACACAAGTGAAAAACCAGAAAATTCTCACGACTGGAACCAAAATTTATCAAAAACTTTGTAATAGTGGAAGATCAGGTAGGAGGTGGAGGATATACAGTAGCCATAAAGCACTGAGAGTCGGGATGGGCTGGAGACTTGTCACGAGGCACCACCACTACCGCTGCTGCCGCCGCCTCAAGGACTGGAAATCATTACAAAAGCTTGACAACATTAATCAGCCTGAAGACTTTACCATACTGCCACTATTTACAAGACTTGGAAGATGAGAGTCGAGGGACATTGATGAGATATGACTGTTTTAGTTCGTGTCCAATATGTTGTACAGTCACAGTCAAAAGTATTCCTGTCACCTCCTTGCTACTCCAAGAATCTAAAGCATTTATGGACATTATAATGCATTAGTGTCTACTTCTTCTGGTTCACGAGTCTGAATCTTTGGGTTCTTGGAGCCGCAGGAGAGGCGACAGAACTTTTGTGTGTGACTACATACTGGAGTATGACCTGAGGAATAACAAATTTCAACAACAACAGGTTTTATCTTTTTCATTATACCAGTTGCTTCAAGGTTAAAGTTTTGTAAGTCTTTTATCATTTTGTTTTATACTGTACAAGTTATAGCTTCATTAACTGATAATAAATACTGTACACGTTGAATTATTGTACAGTATATGACATGTATGTAGTGTACTGTGTTATAGTTCAGTAATGTACCAGCTTCCTGTTATAATTTTAACCGATATACGACAACAAATTATATGAAGATGTCATAATTATTGTAATATAAAATTTTCTTAAATGTGAAAATCCAACACTTGATCTGAGACAACTTGCTAGTCTTGTAAATTGTTTATGTACATATTCTTTCAAGATTATTAGAAGTTATTTGCTTACGAAAAGTTTAGCTCTGTTGATCTATTCTTTAGACCATTACAGAATTATTTTATTATTATGCTTTGCCTTAATAGATTATATATTATGTAGTAAGGCAGTACTGGCTCTGTTTATGCTCGACCTGTTAATATAACTTACTTTTAAAAGACATCAATCTGTACATTTTTATCATTTTAATATAGAAATGATTCTTTTTAATCTTGTGTCATTTAAAACCATTTGTATTTACCATTTTTGTAGAAAAAACTTGGATGTGGCTGAATATGTGTAGTTTTTATTTCATGAACTTTGGTGGTGATTGAATTATTTATTAAAAATCATAACTAGGTTTACAAATGCCATTCAGTGTTATTTTTGCCATGAGGTGACATTAAATAAACCAGGAATGTAGAGTAAAACCATTGATGTGTGTTGGTAGTATGGCAGTGTCTCTCACTAATGTATCCTGAGTTTAATCCCCGGCCTGGCAGGTTTTCTCCAGGTTACAGTACTACAGTTTCCTCCTGTACTAACACTGGACAATAAAGGTCACAACAAAGTACAGACTATCTAAGGAATATTCTTACAAAATCCCAGCGATAGAGTCATTAGTATTTGGGGAAGCCTAAGATGTGAAAAGTTTACAGCAAATAACTGAAAAAAGTTAAGCATAACAGATGAGTTACAGTTACAGGAGCTGCTGTAACGCCCTCACACCTCACCTCACACTTAACACTTCACACCTCTAATAAATATTCTTCTTAGTATAATTTGTGAAGGTAAATGTAATCAACCACAAATTTGGAGAGACAATAACTTTTATACTAATATAAAAACAAAATAAATCGGCCACAAAAGTGCCTTCCCAAGGAAAGTATGTATTTCTGTATATACTTTCCTTGTGCCTTCCTAAGTATAAGCTTGTGTCAGTACCGTCATCACCAGATTATGAACGTTGGTTTATGAGTCGTTTACTTCCCTCTCTGTGTCTGCTATTGAGCTTATGGTCTACTCAGTGTGTTGCTGTCCAGTGTTGTGACTGCTCTTGAGTGTGAGCTCCTTCAAGACCAGACTTGACCAACACTGGTGCAGGTATAGATACTGTACATCCTAGAACCAGTACAGTCAACAGACTCGTGAACCCGAAGCAGTAGACTGATGTATTTTTTAGACCATAAATGCTTCGGATTCATGAGTCTGAATCTTGGGGCTCGTGCATGTGGTTCAGTGCATGTCCAGTACTTGTCAACAGTGTGTAACAGAGAGCCAGTACTTGTCAACAGTGTGTAACAGAGAGCCAGTACTTGTCGACAGTGTGTAACAGAGCCAGTATTTGTCAACAGAATGTAACAAAGCCAGTACATGCCAACGGTGTGTAACAAAGCCAGTACATGCAATGAGTGTGCAACAGAGACGTGACCGATCGCCCAAGAGGCTAGCAGACTGATCAGTGACGAAGAGGATCAAGTAAAGTAAAGTAAAGTGGTTCTGGATATACCCTGTCTGTTGCTGGTGCTAAGTTAGGATCTACACTCTTGTTGATGCTGTTCTCATCTACACTGCTGGCTGTCTACTGTGAAGTGGTTAGTAAAGACTTCGTTGGTTTTAGTATCATAATAAAAATAAAGTTCTTCGAAAGTTTCTAAGATGGAGGAAATGATGATGTTGGAGAGGCGTGAGGTGAAGGGGAGGAATTTAAGCTATAAATTAAGCAGACAGTCATCATCTCCTGTCACCGTTACTTTCTTGAGAATTTTGTTTTACAATTTCTTTATTTTGTAGTTAAACTTATTTATATTCCGGCTGCCAGTCTGGGAAGGGGAGGGGGTTAACAACGAGTTCCCTAGATTAGGTTAGGTTAGACTACCTTCATTTCATTATTGATAAAGTTAAGGTGGGTCCCATTGGCATGGCAGTTGTTTGCTGATAGTTTGCTTCCCAAGCGTTCATCATTTCATAACTGACCTAATTTTACCCAACCCCACCTTGACTGTCACAGCTTGCTCTCCCTGACACTGGTAAACCAGACAGTATAATGCACAGTATATGTCCACACGACCTATGTTTCCTTATATGTAGAATTTAGTTGTATTTTTAGCTTTGGTTTGTGTTAGCGTTGTTTGAGCTCTTACGGACCGCAACCAAAAATTAAATTCGCCAAAAATTATTCTTCCAGTTGAATTACTGTATCGAGAATTGAAGCTCTTACTTGAGATGTTCAGCAGGCAAGAACACTGACCATTAAAATTTTTAGTTCCCGATTGAATTGTATTCCTGAGCCTCCTGTCACCCTGTATCTGTCTCCCTCTCCATCTACATCTACATATCTGTATCTAACTATCTATCTGTCTGTCTGTGTCTATCTATAAATCTATCGTCTGTCTATCTATGTCTATCTATCTATGTCTATCTATCTATTGTCTATCTATCTACCTCAGAACAGAATAATACACAGGTAGCCTGACACCCACACTCCACAGGTGTGCCTAGACTGGTTCAGGTCAGGTTATTGAATTACAATAAGCTTGGATGGTATCACCTGAAGATTAACCCCCCACCTTATTTCACCTGAAGATTAGCCCCCAGCTTATTTCACCTGATGATTAGCCCCCAGCTTATTTCGCCTGATGATTAGCCCCCAGCTTATTTCGCCTGATGATTAGCCCCCAGCTTATTTTCTCTGAAGATCAACTACCCTAATCTTAGTTTAACTTCACCTAATCACCAGGTAACCTTAGAGTGGTTAATCTTAAGTTAAATTAAGTTTATTTGGGTTAGGTTAGTTTAGAAATTTTCTTAAGTTAGATTAGGCACTGGTTAGATTAGGTTTGTATTTGGATGAAATATTTAAGGTTAAGTTAGGTCAGGTTTTGTTAGCAAGAAGTTAGATTAGGTTAGGTTAAGTTAGATTAAATTAAGTTCAAGTTGTTATGTCAGGTTAAGTTAGATTGGATTAAGTTGTTAGGTTAGGTTAGATTAGGTCAGGTTAGGTATTACTGTTGTATTTGGTTAGGAGTGGTTTGGTAAGTGTTGAGTTGTGTGTAAAATAACAGAAAATAAACAGGAAAACAAGACTTAATTATTTTCATTTTACGAGAAAGACTAAAACATTTACAGGTAACTCAATTTCTTATCCGGTATTTAGGGAGAAATAGATTTGAAGAAACAGCGTCGTTCTGTAAATATATTTGTCAGTGTCCACACTACTATACAAGACCCATAAATTAACATGTAATAAATAATAAAAAGAAGAAATAGATCACCTAAAGATTAGCCACCCAGCTTATTTCTCCTGATGATTAAACACCCTAAAGCTACCTGGGGGGTTAGGTTAGGTTAGGTTAACGATAGGTTAGGTTACCTTTCGGGTTTTTAAACAACAAGTGAAATAAGCTGGGGTGTTTGCTCTTCGGGTGATACATAACTATAACCTACTGATCTTTGGTTAGGCGAATTATTGATGTTTTATCTTAGTTTGTGACAGAAGAACATGGGAGACCGTTGGGAGAACATGAGAGATTTCTCATATGAATTATTTATCATCAGTTAAATTACGTTAAAATAGAAAAGTGAAGGTTTCCATCAGCAGGGAAGTGGTCGAGGCATGAGTGGTGTTGTGGTGACCTACAGGACAACCAGGTGCCAGGCCGGGTGTAGTTGTTGCCTCGCAGGTGGGCTGGGTGTTGCTGATGTTTGAGGACCTCCAGCCCCATAGAGTTCCTACTGAAGAGACCCGGATTGGCGCTCACTTTAACCCACCGACCAGAGTACCAGATAGAGGTCGGGGTGGAGAGGTACTCGGCCGGGAGGAACTGTTTACTGAGTACATTTCTACACAACATGTCTAGAGTGAAGGACAGACACACTATCTTTAGGAAGGTCTTCTTGTATCTGATCTTTAGAAGGCAGTTCATGGTCTTGGCGACGGTACTGAATTTCTTGTACCAAGTCTTGAAGTCGTCACACTCGATGTAGATGTCGTGGTCGGTGTCCCAGGGAAGGTAGGAGCCGAATTTGACAGCTCCCAAAACTGACCCCGCCTGCAGTTCATACTGAAGGCCATTTTCCTCAGCCAAATCCATCATTATGTCCAGTTCCCTATGAGCGATATCAACACAACAGGGCGGCAGCAGGAAGGATTTCGTGACTGAGAGAGTGTTATTGCAGCTGATATTGATTTGTTTGCAGGTGAATGTAAAACTTTTACCGTTGTAAGACACCTTCTGGAGAGCCCAGTGACGCGCCATAGGCAGCCAGTCTTCACTGGTCATGTTGACGTGATTAGTGAGGAAGAACATGACGTCAGGACACACCATGGTTAAGTGGCCCGCTTCACGTACCTTGGCCAACCAGTCACGATACACGGCTGGGCCGCTGAGGCTGCTAGTGAAGGCCACTTTGTTGACCAGCTTGACAGTAGTGATAAAAGGCGTCAACACATCATCACAGTACATACACTCATATTTAGAGTAATAGTAACCCATGGTGTAGGTGGCTTGGTAGTCTGCCATGCGCTGCTGCAGACAACCATGAATCCAGTGACCTTGGAGGTCCCTGGCAGCACCCCCGGCCACCTTCACATGTTCCAGCTCATCCAGGACCCTTACCAGCCGCTCCAGGGACGACTGGTTGCTGAAGTGTGCCAGTGACGTTCCCATGAACACATACGGTGTTGTTACCTTCTTCACAACAGCGTTGAGAAGAGTTGCATCAGATGATTTCTTCCGAGAACTTAAAAATCTGACATTGTTTACGTTTGTGTCAACAAGTGAATTTTCAGGTACTAAGGCAAGGATGGGTATGTCGTACCATCTTCTTATTTGGGTGATGACGAAGTTGGTGGTGTGTGGTGGCCAAGACATGGCTGGTAGCACAGCTGTGAGAACACTGTTGAATGGTGGCACATATGTGCAGTTCTCTGGCTCCATACCGTGTTGATGGAAGGGTTTATCATAACGCCGTCCAAAATACACCTCAGGACACACGTGTCGGGTCCTACCGGGGAGGGGCGGCGCGGGGCCCATGTCCGGGAGTCTGGCGGAATAGTCCCAGGAAGAGGCGTTGGTCGAGGCCTCTATCCTCGGGTCCAGCTCCTCTATAAGGGCGCCAAGTGTTAGGGCCCATTTGGCGTCTACCACAGCGGATATACCTGCAACACCGACTCTTTAGTCATACAGTATATGCATATAAACACAAAACTCACATTGCTTTCGTAGACAAAACTTATGATAAGCGTAGCTTTTGCTCGGATTTCATACTGTACAAGCACAAGTACTCATAAAATTTTTTACAAACTGTAGCATGATATCACTTAAGATAAACATTCCTAAACAGGCAGGTCTATCTACATGTTCTTACCGTAATTTACTTCCTATATATATATATATATATATATATATATATATATATATATATATATATTTGTTGACATCTTTGAGACACAAGTAGAGTTCAATTACCTGCCAGACGAGCTATTTGACGGTGAATATTAGCGAGGGTGCCAGCTAGTCGTCTACGGTACGCCACTTGCAGGGACTCGGGTGAACCTTCGTGTGGAGAATGTTGATGGGTGGGTGTAAGGCAAGGAGGACATAAGCGAGGTGAACTTTCTCGTGACTTAGTGTCCTTTGAACATTCTTCGTTGTGAGTAGCGTCATCACCCCTGTAGGGGATGGCCAGTGGTGCTGGAGCTGCCGACGTTTGACGATATTAATACAAAACAAAATATCTGGCTTTTCAATTAATGTTAAACATGTTTAGTATTGCAGTCATGTCATGGCATATCAAGCCATACTCTATTGCTATTTATAGTCTTAGTATATTATGAACCCTGTACTGTACAGTCTTTGTGTACTTGCACTAGGTACAGCTGCACTCTCTGTGTACATCGTTTACTTGCACTGTCTCTGTACATATATACAGTATGTATACCTGCATGCTTATGTTCATTGTATAGGCTACCTGCACTGTCTACTGTATGTTGTGAGTATACTTGTACTGTCTATACACATTGCATGAATATCTGTATAACAATTGAATAAAAAAAAAGTTGGAGATGCGGGGTATCGATCCCCGTACCTCTCACATGCTAAGCGAGCGCTCTACCATTTGAGCTACACCCTCGTACACTACTGTGTGTAATATCGTTATACAATCTCATATTGGTTCAATATGAAACAGTCGCCGGCACTTACATCTGATACAGTATAAGATGTGGCACCACTGTGTTTCTTTACACCGTATTAAAACTCCCGGAATTATCCCAAAGGAACCTGACGAGAGTAGACAGACTTAGGATGTTAGATAAACATTCCAGAGTTGCCACATCTCACAAAGAGACACTAAAACTATGTCTGTGTCCATCTACTCACTCACCTGTGTAGAGGGTTGAGTACAGCAGGAACAAGGTAATAAGAACCGCTGCACTCACCAGCATCAGTAACCTCCTCCTACGCGCACACCCACTACCTGTGATAATAGAGGCGTGTTCAGTAAGTGCTTTCAGAAGATATTGTTTCTGTTCATTATTAAAATGGATTAGGTCATGGTTAACTGGTAGGAAACAAAGAGTCAGCATAAATGGAATTAAGTCAGACGGGTGTGGTCAAAAGCGGAGTTCCCCAGGGATCTGTATTAGGCCCTCTGCTGTTTGTTATATTCATTAATTTAGGTATAACTAGTAGGATTAGTAAATTTGCAGATGATACCAAAATGGGGAGAGTGATAAATTCAGACAGTGACTTTGAACACCTTCAAAGAGATCTAGATACCTTACATGAGTGGTCAGTAGACTGGCAAATGAATTTTAATACTGATAAATGCAAGGTACTACAAATAGGGAAGACGAATACAAACGTTAAGTATAAACTAGGTAACACGGAAATAGAAAACTCAGATTGTGAAAAAGATCTAGGTGTATTTGTTAGCAACGACTTGAAACCTAGAAAACAATATCTAGGAGTGTGAGTAACAGAACTGCTGACGTTATCTTGAAACTTTACCTAGCATTAGTGAGGCCACACATGGATTATGCGGTTCAATTCTGGTGTCCTTATTATAGAATGGACATAGATTCTTTGGAGAGAGTACAAAGAAAAATGACAAAAATGATCCATAATATTAGAAACCTTCCATATGAAGAAAGACTGAAAAGCTTAGGCTTGCATTCATTAGAGAGGCGTAGAGTTAGGGGAGATATGATAGAGGTGTTCAAGTGGGTAAGTGGGATTAACAAGGGTAAAATGGAAGATGTTCTGAAGCTCAGTAATAACGAAATAACTAGAACAAATGGCTTTAAATTAGATAAATTCCGATTCAGAAAGGATATAGGCAAGCACTGGTTTGGTAATAGAGTTGTGGATATGTGGAATAGGCTACCGAGTGCTATAGTAGGATCGGGGACGCTAGGGAGCTTCAAGACGAAGTTGGATAGGCACATGGAAGTGCTGGGATGGGTGTGAAAGGGATCTGCCCTGTATGGGCCAGTCGGCCTCCTGCAGTATCCCACTTTCTTATGTTCTTATGTTCTCTCTCTCTCTCCTTTCCCATAGACTTGAGGGACCGTTTAGGACAGCGCAGCGGGAACACAACACACTGTGACTGCATACTAAGCCTTCAGTATACAACACACTGTGACTGTATACTAAGCCTTCAGTATACAACACACTGTGACTGTATACTAAGCCTTCAGTATACAAAGAAGTACTGTGCTATGGCTGACACTGTACTCTACCTCCTTCACTTCCTCAACAGTAATCTTAGGGAGCCATTTACGAGTGGGTGTACTGAGGTATACTGTAGTTAGTATATGTAGCACCACTAACACTGAGTATATGTAGCACCACTAACACTGAGTATATGTAGCACCATTAACACTGAGTATATGTAGCACCACTAACACTGAGTATATGTAGCACCATTAACACTGAGTATATGTAAGGACCACTAACACTGAGTATATGTAGCACCACTAACACTGAGTATATGTAGCACCACTAACACTGAGTATATGTAGCACCACTAACACTGAGTATATGTAGTACCACTAACACTGAGTATATGTAGCACCACTAACACTGAGTATACGTAGCACCACTAACTCTGAGTATATGTAGCACCACTAACACTGAGTATATGTAGCACCACTAACACTGAGTATATGTACATAAGAACACAATAATGGAGGAAACTGCAGCGGGCCTATTGGCCCATACTGGGCAGTCCCGTTTACACCCAACCCCTATTGCTCATATAAGCATCCAACCTATGTTTGAAGCTATTCAGCGTATTCGAGTTAATGATGATATTTGGTAACTTGTTCCATTCATCCACTACTCTGTTTCCAAACCAGTGTTTACCTCTTTCGCGCCTAAATCTAAATTTGTCTAATTTAAAACCATTGTTACGAGTTCGCTCCTGGTTGGATAGTTTGAGTACCTTTGTAATGTCCCCTTTGTTTAGCCCTGACTTCCATTTATACACCTCTATCAGGTCGCCTCTCGCTCTACGTCTCTCGAGGGAGTGCAAATTAAGATGCTTTAACCTGTCTCCATACTCAAGGTTCCTAATGCCCGGGATTAGTCTTGTCATTCTCCTCTGAATTCTTTCCAAGGATTCTATATCCATTCTGTAATACGGTGACCAGAACTGAACTGTGTAATCCAGGTGTGGTCTCACAAGAGCAAGATACAGTTTTAGGATGACCTCGCTAGTCTTGTAACTAACACTCCTTTGTATGAACCCAAGTACTTTATTAGCCTTGTTATGAGCAAAGACACATTGTTTACTTGGTTTAATTTTCTTACTTATCATTACTCCTAAATCTCTCTCGCAGTCTGATTTCTCTATGTAGCACCACTAACACTGAGTAGAGGAGCACCACTAACACTGAGTATACTGTATGTAGCACCACTAACACTGAGTATATATAGCACCACTAACACTGAGTATACTGTATGTAGCACCAATGACACTTGAGTACCGTAATATCAAACCTTTTTCTGAAATCATTGTTCTGACGTTATGAAAGAATCCGCTTTTTCTTCCTCAGATTACCAAGTTTGGATTGGTTCTAATCACTTTGAAGTAAGGATTGGTTAAGTTTGCATCGCTTCAAACCCCCCTCCCACCCCCCGGAGTTGAGGTTATTAGGAGCTGATACTTTACTTTTATGGATTGTAATCATTATTAAGTAGTGATTGGAAAATTCTGATTTGTTAAAATCTCATTTAAACCACTCTTGCGATTTAAAATGTAACCCCAATCTATCCAATTATGGATTAAGCTACTGTACACTGCAAGACCTAATCAGCTTATGAGTTATTGTTTAGTAGGCACTGTAAAGGTTCCAGATCCAATATCCGTTTAAGATTAGCCTCCGGCGATGTTTCAATCACTAAGTCCAACGATTGGATGGAGATGGGGGATTAGACGGTTTGGAAGGATGTTGCAGCGGCTTAAACAGTGTTACAGCCCTTGGATGTTGTGAGTGCACCTCTTGTCCTCTCCCACTAAAATTCCATTCCATCCTCTCTCTAAACTGCCACTGAACCTCCTTCTCCCCCTGTCACTAGCCTTTTAGTCTAGTCTACAGTAGTCCTCTTGTTCTTGTCCGCGGGGGGAGGGGGGGTGGGGGTGGTAGGAGGTTGCTGAAGAATCGTGCGCCGTGGCAGCGCTGTGTTGCCTTTCGATAATTTGAACGGATAGTTTTACGTAAATCTTGATGGATTAACAAAAGGAAAAAGTATAATTCTATGTTGATTTATATATGTAATGTATAATTGGAATATTTACACGAACGCTTTTGTAAAACATAACTTAAAGTGAATGAATCGTACGTCGTGGCAAAGTTTGGCCGATTGGTTGAGTGTTTGAAATAAGTCGCACGTGAAATTATGAATATATGTACGTAATGCACATATTAAACACAAATAAACTCTCTTATAAGACTTGAATTAGAATGAAAGAAAACATTTTGCTTACAACGTTAATACAGGGGTTAGGTTAAATTATATTAGGTAAGGTTGGTTAATCTTCAGGTGAAATAAACTGTGGAGGCTTATCTTCAGGTGAAATAAGCTGTGGAGGCTAATCTGCAGGTGAAATAAGCTGTGTTTATGTCGAAAGGCTCACGGTTGGATGAGAGACGTCGATTGTGGTAGTGAGGTTGACTGGTAGGGTGGTGTTATCTGCTGGAGTGTACTCGTCCTCGGGGTGTCTGTTGCGTGTGAGTGCACTATTGGTCACCTCGCTAAAAAAAAAGAAAAAAGTATTCGATGAGGATATAGAAGCCGTCCTCACCCTCGTTCACGCCCCCACTCTCGCCCTCGTGTCGCTGTTGTCACTGTGATGTTTGTAGAGCCTTGTATGTGTGGGGGACCTCACAGCTAACATTCCTCACCCCGTACTCAAGGGGTCAAGATATCGTACTCAAGGGGTTAAATCGCTTTGACTCATTCTGTATCTCCATTGTATTCCACAGTTACTCACTTTAATAATCGATCATTTCGTTTTAACATTAATAAATCTTGTTATTATATCATCAGTATGAGAAGAACTTTAATGAAGGAACCTTTGAAAATCTTTCTTTGCATATACAGTACGGTGAAGTAATGTCTTGTATATGGTGTGGTGGTGTAGAGGAGGTGTAGTGTGTCCTATGCTCACACGAGGATCAAGTTCTTTATCACTATGTTGCGCCGGACCCCTTCACATAGAGACTCGCCCACTGTCTCCCACGCTGCCACTGCGGATCGCTCATGTGAATATTAGACATCACAGCTTTATTTCACCTGGTGATTAAACATCCGAACGGTTATGTTATACCATGTTATGTTATGTTATGTTATGTTACGTTATTAGGAAACCTTCTGTACTACGCCTTCATAAGACACCTTCCGTAGGACATATTCAGTACACCTTCTGTAGGACACCTGTAGGACATCGTCAGTACGACACCTTCAGTAGGACACCTTCTGTAGGACGCCTTCATAAGACACCCTCTGTAGGACGCCTTCAGTAGGACATCTTCAGTAGGACACCTTCACACACACATAACATTGAACCTTTAAAAACTATTTAATTCTCTTCCCTGTAATACTAATAAATGAGGATACAGGTAATCACTCCAGTCTGTGTAACTCAGGTGCTGTATTTACCACCTCGGCTGTACCTGGAATGAGGCAGGTGGTCGTGTCTCTACATACACAACTAAGAAGTGTCGGGTACTGTCAGATCCTGGATGAATGAGTGTTGTCGGGTACTGTCTGCCCCTGGGTGAGTGTCTGTGGTTGGGTACTGTCTGCCCCTGGGTGAGTGTCTGTGGTTGGGTACTGTCTGGCCCTGGGTGAGTGTCTGTGGTTGGGTACTGTCTGGCCCTGGGTGAGTGTCTGTGGTTGGGTACTGTCTGGCCCTGGGTGAGTGTCTGTGGTTGGGTACTGTCTGCCCCTGGGTGAGTGTCTGTGGTTGGGTACTGTCTGCCCCTGGGTGAGTGTCTGTGGTTGGGTACTGTCTGGCCCTGGGTGAGTGTCTGTGGTTGGGTACTGTCTGCCCCTGGGTGAGTGTCTGTGGTTGGGTACTGTCTGCCCCTGGGTGAGTGTCTGTGGTTGGGTACTGTCTGCCCCTGGGTGAGTGTCTGTGGTTGGGTACTGTCTGGCCCTGGGTGAGTGTCTGTGGTTGGGTACTGTCTGGCCCAGGGTGAGTGTCTGTGGTTGGGTACTGTCTGGCCCTGGGTGAGTGTGTGTTGTCAGATATTTGAGTATTTTTTTCTGGGGCCTTTTGTAAAATAATTGTTTGTGCAATGAAATTAGAGAAAACGTATTGTGTGCCACTCCAAGGTTCTCATTGTCGTGAACACATTTTCTTTCAATTCTTAGAGCATGTCCTCATTAAACTGTATTGAAGTTAGTAACATAATTAGATGAATACTGTGAAACTCTACAAGTTACTGAATGTTGATTTAGATTATTGCTTAAGGTACAATATATCGATTAAAATACATTAACAGTTTAATGTTTTTCTCGTCACGGTGTTTGTCAAGTCTGGTCTTAAAAGAGCTTGTAGTGGATTCCTCCCCTACAAACGCCGTGTGTCGCTGACTGGCCGACCCCCCGCGAATCTACCAGCGTATTGCTTCAAACATAGGTTGGATGCTCATATGAGCAATAGGGGTTGGGTGTAAACGGGACTGCCCAGTATGGGCCAATAGGCCCGCTGCAGTTTCCTCCATTCTTATGTTCTTATGTATCCCTCGTGGTCAAGGTCAGGTAACCAGCGACGCCGAACAAAGCGGGGGCCTACCATCAAGCCATGCCTTTCCCCCCGCTATATAAGACCACACCTGGCCGTGACCTGCCCCTTCTTCTAGCTACAGCCGCAGCAAGCAACACCTCCTCTGAGCACCCTCACCAACAAGCTCTCCCTACTCACGCTTGTAACCACGCTGCTTCCTCCCAGCACCAGCCACCAAGCTGCATTGTACATCCAATATAACATGTATACAGAGAGCACATTGTGAGTTTCTTTTCTGCATCCCATCCTGAGTGTGAACCAAATATCTGTACCCCACAAGCTCACACTCGGTGCCGTCACAACACTCTCTGGCAGATTGTTGCAAGAGTTCACAATTCTCTCTCCGAAAAAGTTACCCCTTACAGTTTTCTGGGCTTGCGGTTTCTTCAACCTTTTCTTCTTCTTTTTTCTTTCTTTTATCCTCTTCACCACTGATCGGCTCGTTAGCCGCTTGGGCGATCGGTCACGTCTCTGTCACACACTGTTGGCAAGTACTGGGCATGCACCAGCTCCTGAATGTACCTGAACCTGCTCCAGTGTTAGTCAAGTCTGGTCTTGAAAGAGCTCACACTCGGTGCCGTCTCAACGTTTGTTCCAAGAGTTCACAATGCAAATAAAAGAAAATGAGCTGGGGGCTAGTGGTGGTGGTGACGTCACGAGTTGTTTACAAACATTAGGACGAGGGAGGGAGACACCGCCGGACCATGAGTCTACCACCTGACCTGACACAACACGACTACTGGAGGGTCGTCACGCACTATGGAGCAGCTAAGAGAAGACAAAAAATCCATCTGTTACATGAGTTTAGCTGACGCCTTCCTGACACGACTGAGGAAGGAAGCGGAGACCAGGACGAGGAGGAGGATCCTGAAGGGGGTGGGGGTAGACGTTCTCCCCGTCACCATGGATAGGCAAGATTTTATATACGACTACTTAACTAAACTCTATGACCAGAAGAAAGGCACCTTCAGTAAACCCAAGATATTTGCCAAACAAACTATTTATGAATGTGAGAGAAGTAATGTGTGTAAGGGTGAGTATTAATGTGGACCGTGTCTTCTGCTATATTCTAATTGTGTCTAAACCTGATGTCCATCTTTTCTACTCCAGTTTCATATACTTTGAAAATGTCAGAGGTAAATATTCCTTTTATGCAATAGCGAGAATTTGATAACAGAAATAGTTGTGTCTTATACTTGATCCTCTTCGCCACTTACCACTTGGGTGGTCAGTCACGTCTCTGTTGGCAAGTCGTGGTTCCAGGATGTATATATTACTGTGCCAGTGCTGGTCAAGTCTGGTCTTGAATGAGGTACACTGTGCTGATTATTCACGGTGATTTAGGAAAAAAAAAATTTTTTGGCTATTAATTTCGTAAATGTCTGAGAACAGCACTACCACCAGAAGGAGTTGTTCGATTTTGTTATTTTTTCCACAGATGTTCTTATCATTATAGTAAGTATTTCAAAACAGGCGACATTTGCTAGATTCTAATAGAACCTAGCCTAACCAAGCCTACCTAACTTCCTCATCGGGGGGCGAGCCCTCCGGACCCCTTACCATATTGAATAGAAAGTACTTATTTTGATATCTAGTACCAATGAAAGCAACTTTATTGAAGCTTCATGGTGTAATTTATGTTTTTTGTGAACATAAGAGTACGCTCGAACCAAGCTGTCGGTCGTAAACAAACATACAGCACTTCTTGGCAGAATGTTTGGAGGGATATTTATAGAACGTTTATAATTAATTTCTTCACGTATAAATCATGTAGAGACATCATTTTAGTGTCAAATGATCAGTTTTCACTATGTTTTATCCTGCAATTTCTCTCATCCTTCATGCCCTGCCCACTACAGGTGATTTATGATTGTTGATAGAGAAAAAACTTACTGTATAATTAAAATAAAAAGTTGTTGCCTCTTTTAAAATACTTACTATAATGATAAGAACATTTACGAAAAAAAAATAAAAAAATTGAACAATTCTGTATGGTGGTAGCGGTGTTCTCATAAATTACCTTAATTTTTTCCATCCCGAACCATACTGTATTTATTGTTTAAATCGGGGACAAGCACAGGATCGCCACCAAAAAATTTGTAAATTCTGTTACATTACCTTGCATATGATTTATTGATAAATTGAGCCTACCTTAACTACCTAACTTAGTTAGTACGGTATATCAGGTTAAGTAAAGTAAATTAGGGTGCTGCTATAGCGTGCAACCTGTAAAGATATCTCCTGTCTAACCACAGGATTTGATATTGTTTTATTATTATTATTATTATTATTATTACTATTTTACATTTTCTTAGGTAGTTCTTCTGGTGATCCAACAAAGACTCGAGCCAACGGATGTAATGCCTATGTGTCGTTCATGTTTGAGGAAGGAGCAACGATCACGGCTTGCATCGTCCGTTTCCGTCTCTTACACAACGGCCACGACCCCACCAATCGGGAGGAGTCTAGGATCAGCAGGATTGACATGTCGTTGAAAGTTATGATCGAAATGCAGATAAACAGCGGCATGAAGATTAGTGAAATTATGAACGAGATTGCCAAGTGGAACAAAATGAATAAGAACACAGATCACAAAAACCGGAGATACTTCCCCACGAGACAGGACATCCAACAGCTGGCTCTCTCTCTCAAGAAACCTTTAAAGATCCCACACAGCAGCATCGTAGAATCCAAGAAACCCAGGAAGTATGACACGATGAATAAAGACAACATAACGAGGCTGTTGAGGACTGAACTACGCGAGACATGTGTTTACTATCAGTCTCAGACCATCACCGGGACCAACCCTCGGCCTCTGATCGTTGTTCTCCAAAATAGTGATATGAGAGAGATGTGTATTCGCCACGGCCAACACTTTGTACATATAGAGAAGAATTATGAAGGTTAGTGAAGATAATGAATTATTGTAGAGCATTATGAGAATTGGTCTGTAAAGTATGGCCATGAAGTATAAGTGTACAGTACGCTCCTCATTCACTAGTGAGCTTGTATCAGTATACATGTCAGGGCCAAATCACACGTTACATGAATATTTGATGTATACAGTAATGAAAAAATGGTGTTCGGTTACAGGAATCATTGAGACCATACATTACAGAAATGTTTACCCTCCGTGTACTGTACTGCATTATTTTACCTGGAAATTAACCCCCCTAATGCTACCTGAGGGGTTAGCTGAGTATTAGGTTTGGTTAGGTTAGCACCTGGGTGTTTAATCTCAAGTTGAAATAAGCTGGAGTGCCTAATTTTCAGGTGATGCAATACACATAAATAAATGTTGAGCAGATTGTCAATGGAGTTGAAGTAGAAGTGCCAATAATTCTCTCAAGAGGGAGTAGTGTGTGTGTGTGTGTGAATGAGATAGTACCTCTGGCTTATGGGACATTCTATAATGTTGACATTTTCAGGTCTGAGGCAGTATGGGAATGCTGTATATGTCTTAGTCGTGAGAGACGATAATGGAAATGGTTTCCCCATTGCCTACATCATCACTAGTGATGATGATGGTGTGACCTTTGTCCAGGCACTACAGAAACTCACCTCCAGATGTCAGATTACCCCCAGGTGTGTGTGTACTTCTTCTCTACCTTCCTGTTTTATCTTTTATGGTTGACTCGTGGCCGACTATTGTGGTTGACTATCAATTGCTGATTATTATGGTTGACTATCAGGCATCTTGAGTGTGAGAAGAGAGTGTTTAGGTAAGGTAAGGAAGTGCTCATTCTCTTGTTTCTAAGAAAACTATCACATAAAAAGCTAATTGTGTGTGTTGTGGAAAGAAGCATAAACGTACATGTGTGTACACTGTCGTTGTTTTTAATTTGAGAATGTTTCAGGGCGTTCTTCTTGGACCGAGAGATACACAACTTCTCGGAGATGATGGCACCGATTTACCCAGAGAGTCATTTCTTCATTTCCTGGTGCCAAGTGGCTCAGGTATGGCATTGGTTGTGATGTGGCACTGGTTTTAGTGTTTAGTGAAAGAAAAGATAGGGACGTTATTATGAATATACCGGTATTGTTGACTACAGTTACATTTTTATGTATTTTCATGAAATACAACAAATATCTCACTGGACAAGAGATACAAACTTTTGAAAAAAGTGCTCAATTGGGAGAATTTTCATTTTAAAAGTTATTTGTTCAGCGCGACTTTACCATACTGTACACAAACCTAAACAAACGGCTACACATTATTATAAATGATTCCAGGAAGTTCACAAGTGGCTACAGGGTTCAGCAGTGTCTGGGAAGGAGCATGCTGATGTACGCAAAGTTCTCCTGCACTACATCCTGGAGCTTAAGGGGTATGATATGGTAAGATTTTTCTCTTTCTTACTTTCTCTCCCTCTCTCTATCTATGCACCCCATGAAGCTGTAGTTGCTGTGCTCTCCTCTCATTCACAAACATCTTTCCCCAACTTCCAGTATACTTCACCCCATCCTTCCATCTTCTTGCTTCACTTTAATACATGCATACAGTCCTGGAGCCAGACCAGACTTTGGTACCCATTAGGTGACAAAATCTCATGTGTTTAAAGAATGTCACTCTGTCTGGAATATATTATGATTAGGTAACTGTCAGTGAGTGGTAGTTTAGTAGTACAGTAAACGATTGAATTATGTATGACTATATATCTTCTGCAGAGTAAACTTTTGTATAGGGTATGTAAACTGTTGTTCGGGGATCACTGTTGTGGGTGTTGGTACAGTGCAGTGCCCTCTACAGTATGCTAAACCTTTCTCAGTTTTCGTTCATTATATTATGCCGTTTTAATAAGTTAGAGTTTATATACAGGTCGGCTCATATCAGAATCTGTGTTGGTGGGGTTTTATTCTGCAAAAAATCTCTTAAAAACAAAACATAAGAATGTGTTTTGTTCCAGGAAGAAGATTTTATGTTAGCAGCAAGTGAGATGCAACATAGAATAGACTTTGAGACATTTACAGCGATGCTTCAAGCCGAGTGGATGACGTGTGCAGCCAAGTGGAGCGACTTTGGTGGAAGTTCTGTTTATGGCAGCAGTGATACAATGTCTGTCACAGAGAGGTTAGTACAGTTATTGTACACTCGCGTCAAATAATATCATTACGGAGGTGTCTGATGAATTTCAAAATGAACATCGCAACTCCTGTTGTCTCGGTAAGGTTGTCAGAATCCTTCCTCCGTAGTGTCGTATTGTCTAACACTAAATCGTAAAGATACTTTTGGATCAAGTGTACATGGTCATATTTATTATTTGAGAACCCTAAATGATTACTATATTTTAGGAAGTGCAATAAAGTGATCATATCATTGTGAAGAACATCAGTATTCTTCACAATGCTCAGATTTTCATCCTACTGCTTTTTAGGTTCCTGTATATTGCATGTCCTTTTTTATAGTAATCATTTAGGGTTTCTCTTCATACCAAGAGCATCAGCGTTCAACTTTTGGGGGGGAAATTTTAAACTATTTGTTCCACTTTTATATACAGGGTGTCCATAAACTATTGTACGCACAGTTATAAAATGGGTCAGATTGGTGGACACAAAGTATAACTATTGTCAGATTACTTTGTCTTTTGTTGTGTGATTACAGTCTTATAGGTATTCCACCCAGGGCTATATAAAGCACTCGGGGCCAGAAGTAAACAAGCTGATGAGTGGTGAAATTATAAAAAAATTATAAAAATAAACTAAAAATAAAAAATAAAGACACACGAGACCCATTTCATCTTTAATTAATTACTTTATTATTCATTTTACAACTTATCAGCTTACTAGTCGTTCAGGAGGTTGGTCTATTCAGTCTTGGTACAGGAAGAAACCTGTAATGTTTGGTAGTGAGGGTCACGCTGGATAATAATAATTAACGGTTTATTGAAAGAACATGGCAGCCAAAAGGCTGTAAATATACAGTAGTTACATAATTGGGTCACGATTGACAAATAATATACAAGTAACATTAGTGATACAAATATGATATAACACCTTTCTCACGTGCATCCTGACCAACCAGGACTCCAACCCTTGACATATTGGTAAGAGATTCTTGCATTACTTTATTAAACTTCATATTTCTTCTTTTTGCAGGTTTTTCTTAAGAATACAGCATCAGTTTCTGAAAGGTTTACACACAAGGAAGTGTTTAGAAGATCTGCTTAGACTCATCACAGAAAATGTCGTTGAACACAGGAAGTATGTTTGCATAAAATTGGTACACAGTCAAAACTAATACATTTAAGAAGTACGAGTCCATTACTTGATTGTATGTTGTAAGAATTTGAATTGATGGTAAATGAAGGATTGTGCTTTAGTATAAAATCCCAAGTTAATGGAAGGCAATATAAATCAGATCTTTTATTTTGTTATTTTTCCAGTTTTGTGGGTGGGATGGTGAACATGTCTCTACTGCTGGAAGGTACAGCGAGTGAGCAAGCTGGTTTACTACTTAACCAAGGTTGGTCACAGTTAATTACATGGCAGGGGCAGTGGGTGGCTCATGTCCCGTGCCACAATGTGTTGGAGATGACTTATCGAGTCAATCTGATCACAATGGAGTGCGAGTGTCCCATCGTAACCTACGTGGGACCCTGTTTACACCTGTGTTTGGTCATGGCCCTGGCACAGCTACGAGACGGACCGACTTCTGAACAAGAGCGTCACAGACTTGCTTCGGAGGCTTATGAAAACTCGGATTATGTCATGGATCACATTTCCTGTATTACATTTCACAGTGGAGTCTTATGTGTGACGAAGCTACAGAATTGGAAATGTACGTGTATAGCGAGCACTTTTGACATTGACTGTGTTGGAAAGATCTTACTAAAAATTGCTGAAGGAAGAGAAGAGGCCGTGACTTATACTGTCCCTGCTCCAAATACCTCGCCATCACCCGGGTTATCACACAGTCCTCGTGATTTAGTGAAAGATGTGGATAATAGTAACATAACAGTGTGTAAAGCAGAGGTGGTGCCGGCCTTCACCATCACCATGACGTCGCAAGTGGAAAAGAGCAGCGCACAAGATGGAACTTTTCAGGGAATTCAAGAGCAGCCAATGATCATTCAGGTCCACACCGGGTTGGTGACTGATCCATCTGGTGTGTCTCAGATGGTATCAGCCAGAGGTTCAGAGATGTCAGATAGTAATTTAGAGTCTGTTAAAGTTATTAAAAAGGAAATTGACCAAATATCAACTGACACAAATTTGTCTTCACTTGCAATTATTGAAAAACTATATCAGTGGTCTAGATCAAAAGACTTTAAAGATTCTAAAGTGCTTAATGACATGCTCAGAGAAACTCATAATGTTATTTGGGGAAAACAAAACTCTTCACTTCTAAAACAAGAAGTTGAACCAAAGACCAAAAAAATTAAGGATTTAGGGAACAAGAAATTAAGAGCCGTTGTTCAGTCCGTGAAAAGACCGAGAGTTTTTACAGAAGACGACGATGATGGCTTAGACCAAATGTCCTCGGTGTTGCCGACCATGAGGGTCAGCAGAAGTGGCAGAACTATTAAGATCAAGGAAGAACCTGACTTTATTATGTGAAAGTGCGTACAGTACCTCATTAAATCCCGAGTTGTACAGAATCACAGGTTTTATATGATATTTTCTCTTTCACTCCTACAAGCTTCCCCCATTAGCCTATGGTGTGAGCGGCCCAACATCATGACCAACACACACACACTCTCCCATCACTTTATTATAATTGCTTTACAATGATTCCAACCCAGCTCCCAGGACAATGTTTGTTCATACAATTGGAATGGGTTGTACATTATTACCATTATATCAGTTGGGCATTTGATTCACTTGTCTTAAAAATATTACCTTAAAAATCACTTGAACCCCAAAAGTACTGTACTGTACAGAAAATTTGAGATATACTCCTGTGTCTCTTATGGTGTGATACTGTTATCCTGGGAGGCAGAGTGAGACAGTTCCTCCAACCTCTCACATTTGGTTCTGTAAATCCATGAAAAATGTGTTGTTTCTACTCAGAATGTATATACAGTAATTCAATTGACAGTAGGAACATTATAGAATCTAGTCTCATTAAACATACCGAATCCGTCAACATGAATTTGAGTAATGGTATGTACAAATTGGATAATTTTGTAATTAAGATGATTTGTAACCAGGTGAGAAGGTTGGGTCAGCTTACCCTCTGACCTGACTACCTACGGCTGCGGTGCTTTTGTGAAGATTAGTAGGGTCATTACCTATACCTGACCACTGTGAACTTGATCTCACCCTTCTCTGTGTATATATATATACACCCTGTTTTCTACTTCTTCTTAGTCTGTACTCACCCCTGAAGATGTGAATTACACGAAAGCGCTTGGGAACTTCGTGTTTTCTTTTCCCTTGTGGTTATCAGCATATATATATATATATATATATATATATATATATATATATATATATATATATATATATATATATATATATATATATATATATATATATAGGCAACCCTCACTTTACGCGGTCCCACATTCCACGTTTACGCGGTACCCTGCCGAAACCCAGGATGCTCACATTTCGCGGTGCGGGTACCCCTTTACGCGGAGAGTGTCCGGCTCGACGCTATTTTTAGATTCGCCCCACCCGCCTCCTCCCTCCTCCGCCTGGGCAAGCCGCGAGGTAAGGTTGTGCATTGCATGTCTCTGTTGTGTTATCAGTGACGTCATATGACGTATCGGACTGTGATTGGCCATGCATCCCTACCTCCCTCCGCTGCTAGCTGTAATTGGTTTAAAGCAATATGACGTGTCCACCCGGGGGAGGGAGGGAGGAAAGACGACGCTTGACCTAGCCGCGGCAGTTTCATCCCTCCAGGCCACACCGTGTAATCGTGCAGCCATTGTTCTGTAAAATGGCTTCCGCCGGACCACCGCCCCCATGTTGAAACCTTTCTTTGCCTGGACCCAGCCACCCTAAGCCCAAGAAGACACGACGTTCCTTAAGCTACGAGGTGAAGTACAAGATCATCCGAGAGTTAGAGAAAGGAACAAGACAGGTTGATTTGGCGCGCCAGCATGGTGTGAACGAATCTACGATCCGGATGATAAAGAAGGATGCAGCCAAGATAAAGGAGCACATGAAGATCACAAAGTCTACAGGTGCTTCTATGATCAAGTATTTCCCCAACCAGGTGCTTCTCAAGACGGAAAAATTACTTGTGAGCTACTTGGTGCGTCAGGCGCGACGGAACATGGCGGTCGACACTCGCTCTGTTAAGGAGTATGCACGTGAACTGTATGCTGCAGTGTCACGAAAGATGGGAATTACAGAGCCCAAACCTTTTAATGCTTCCTCTGGGTGGTTACAGAGGTTTAAGATGCGGAACAAGATCACCAATATAAACATTGGTGGTGAAGAAGCTCGTGCTGACCGTGCTGCGGCTAGGGAATTTCCTCCGTTTTTACGTGAGATTATGGAGGAAGGACAGTACACCGACGACCAGGTGTTTAACATGGACGAATCTGATATTTTTTTGAAAAAGCTACCTTCCAAGACCTTCGTTGTGAAGAATGCCAGCAAGATTCGGGCCCGGAAGTTGCAGAAGGAGCGCATCACCGTCCTGTTTACCACCAATGCCTCCGGTACCTGTAAGCTCTAGTTATCGGTGATCCACACAGCCCGCAAGCCACACGCCTACAAGAGCATGGACATGACCAAGCTAAACATCCACTGGCTGACCGCACGTAAGGCGTGGATGTTCTCTACACTGTCCCTCTCCTGGTTTGATAACTGTTTCATTCCCGATGTGAAGAAATTCTGTGAGCAACAGAAAGTGCCATTCAAGATTTTGTTGCTGCTGGACAATGCACCAGGACACTCGCCCCTACTGTTAGATCGTCACCCTAACGTAAAAGTGGTCTTCCTTCCTCCCAACACTACGTCTATATTACAGCCCTTGGACCAAGAGTTAATCTGTAATGTAAAAGCTGCATTCTCAAAAAAAAAATTCCAGCTCCTGAACGACTACACCAACACCAGGGAAGAGTTGCGTAACCTGAGTGACACCACCACCGATAGCAAGAGCGAAGAAGATGAGGATCAACAGTTGGCAGAGCAAAAAATACTTTTCAAACAATTCTGGAGAATATTCAACATCAAGAAAGCTGTGGACCTCTTGGTGGAGGCATGGGATCAGCTGTCTGTAGCAACTGTTCGTCACGCATGGAGACATGTGTTGCAAGGCATTCCGGCAGTTAGGCAGAGTCAATCTGTGACTGGTGAGGTTCAGACTGTTGCAGTAGCAGTGGACCTTGCCAGAGAAGCTGCGCAGAGTGTTACAGCTGCAGGCTTCTCCGAGACCACCAACGACGACATCCTGGAGGTGATATGGGATCCTGATGTGACTACCGACGAGATGGTAGATGATGATGACGTCAGTGAAGAGGCAGGTGGTGCGTCATCCCAAGAAGAACACCGCTTATCCCATAGTAATGTTAGGGGTGCCATCGAGTGTGTTGAGAAAATCAAGCTCCTCCTTTCTGACGACCCTGACGCAAACAGGTATGAAATCTTCACTACCCAGCTGTTGCAGACTAAGGAGCCCTACTTCAAGGTTTATCACGACAACATAAACACCAGTCGTCAGCAAAGCATAACAGAGTTCTTCGCCTGCAACCCACCACAGCCAGCCCAAGCCAGTGATAGTGACAAGAGGTAGAGACAGTGAAAATGACTGAGGGATTTGTCAGGGAGGCCCTGACAAATGTGGATGACAGTGATGGTGACTCACCTGAGGGCCAGTAGCCTGCCCTCTGCCTCAGAACCAGCCTCCATCCCCGTATGCCGAACCATCTCTTCTACTAACGTAAGTGTTCAACCTAACTTTTAGTTTTCCTAACCTAACCTCTTCTATATTAATTGTTTGTGCATACCATCATAAAGTTAAGATAAAATTTTTACTACAACATAGTTGTGTGTCGTCAAAAAGTGGAGTTTGGGGGTCAGCCCGGTCTCTATTTCAATTAATCCCATATGTTATGTTGTTCACTTTCCGCGGTACCCTGTGGGTTATATTAACCGCGTAAAGTGAGGGTTGACTGTGTATATATATATATATATATATATATATATATATATATATATATATATATATATATATAATACATAATTATTCTGTATATTTAGATCTGCTAATGACTTAATTAACTATTCGTCACTAAAGGTTAATAATATTTGCACAATAATTATAGAAATAGAATCCTTAATCATCTCACCATCCTGGGGGGGGGGGGGTGGAGTAAACACAGCATTTGCTCAAGTCTTTTTTAACAGCAATGTACAAATTATTTCCTTAAAGAAAACTTAAAAATCCTGAGATACAATTATTTCAAAAGTTTAATTCAGTCCACCTGAAGTAAAATTATTATATTAATTTATTTTTGTTCTGAAAAAACACAATAGTGTAACATTTGTCAGCCTAATTATATATAAAAGTTACAAAAAGATTAGTACATTTCAGTTATTACATACAGTATACTGGCCTGCACACACACTAGTCACAAGTGATTCACATACAGTTGTATCTCTGATGTACTATGTTGGACTAAAGTCCCTACCCTCAGCCCTCCCTCTCTGGTCCCCATCCCCCGTCAAATGCACTACACAGTGTGCCATTGGTTGCTTCGTTATTCGAACCTCAGGTGATTCAGTCATATTGTGGCTGGCTGAGGGAAGGAACTTTTGTCTACCATAGTACAGGCACTGAAAAATTTATCTGTACAAAATTTTGTTGAGAAAATATGACAATGGCCGAAGGATTTTGACAACCCTACCGAGACAACCAAGACGACAGGAGTCTCGGTGTTCATTCTGAACTTATCAATCACTCCCAAATAGATAGCTTTTTGAGTGACTGTAAGTGTGATCATTATACTGATGTTCCTACTTTATAAATTCACGCTATATTCAGTGCACCATACTTACTACGACTCACCTGTACAACAGGTACAGTGATTCTCTACTATGAGCCAACCAGCTCTAGGGGTGGATCCAAGATTTTATGGTGGGGGGGTGATCAGATTTTAATGTGCAGACAAAAATTTAGCCAGGAGAGTCTTATGCGAAAAGAGAGGTTCGGCTGAGCCCCAAACCCCATCCTCTCCCCCTGGAACTGCCACTGAACTTGGGTTAAATTGATAATTTTTCTTTTATAGTTGAATGTGAATTAATATTTTTCTCATAGTAAATAAATCAAGTTTCTCTAAAGCTGATAATTTCAGTGATTATGTCAATAACAGCGCGTATGATGAGAGGAGAGAAGCCGTGGGTCATTAAGGTCAGGTTAGTGTCACGAGCTTCGATTTCCTTCATGATGTCTTGTAAGAGGTCCCTGGAATGATTAAGGTATAGTATTAAACAAACACCTTAAGATAATCACAATAAAAAAGATCATGAAAGAAGGAAAATATAATTTTGTATACTGTACATATCTTTATTTACCAAAGTGGGCAGTAATAGTGTTTTTATTTTGGAGATGCTGAAGCCATGATTATGGTAGGGTAGATCAGGTTACGTTAGTTTTAAACTGCACCAGTGACGAACTGCCTTAGAATCATCCACTACAGAATTAGAATCAATGCTGTAGTCTTACTTGGTCATATCAGCCTGAGTCTCAAACTGGTCCCAGCCGCCACGTGAAGATATGATCTCTCGGTTGATTTCTTTGAGTCGAAGGTTTCTTGATGCTAAATAGAAATAATCCTCGGCAAGTTGAGACGCTTCAGCTGAAAGAAACAAAAACATCAAATAGGAAAAAAGAAAATTGTGTAATCAAGAAATCAGCTCATGACTACAGTAAAGTACAGGTACTGTAATTGTTTCCATATCCTGTGAGGATGGCTTAACTTCTTCACTATTGGATGCCACTTTTTTATTTGGCCAATGCCAAATGATTTTATTCAGCAGAGAGGTGACCCTGTGCACAAGGGGTTATTACTCATCACCTCAGCCATCAGAAGAACACAAGCTTGGATTGAGTTGTGATCAGACATATGCGCTGAGAAGCAAGATAAGTCTTCTATCGTTGGTGTTAGTGGTGGGGTCACCTAATTTCTTGTCTAGTATTCAGGTCACCAATTAGGACAGTGGATTTAGTGTCTACAAAGTCTGGGAGATCAGTGTATTGAAGCTGATCTGAGGGAGCATAGGCATCCACAGCACATTAAGTGTGGAGTTACCCAACTTACTTTCCGTGAGTTTTGTGAAGCAGGAGATGACGGCAGACTTGGAAGTTAACTTCTTGATGCCGTTCTTAGCGAGGGTTTGTTTCAACTCCCTCCCTTTCTCTTTACTCAGGCGCAGGAGAGAGAGTAACATGGTCTGGCTGCAAGGATATACAGTACCACAATTAAAATGGAGGATTGAGGCATATTATTATTCTACCTGTCGGCATACATAATACAGTACTTTACCGAGAGACTTCCCTGCAGTCGTGACACCATTTTGGAATAGGGTTCATATAATGTCAATCCAGAGTTAATCTGTTTATCCATTTAGAAATTTTGATTATCCCATTCCTGCCTCTGTACAGCTGAACTAATAAAAGAAAAATTCAATTCACATTTTACTAACATAATACAGGATCAATTATTTTTTTTAGAAACCCAAATTTTTGCTGATAACAATACTAATAGAAAAGTAAAAATGATTTACAAATAATAAGCAAGCTTAATGATGGCAAACTATATGTATGAGATAAGATCAGCTGATTCAACAGAAACTATCATTTGAAAGTGAAACTCATATGAACATACTGTACAGTATTTTATTTCCTAGCAAATTTAATTTGAAATTGAAAAAAAATAAACAAATGGTGCTATGCCACACAGGTATTAAAAATGCACAAATGGCAAAATTCTTCCCAATTTATTGATGAACAAACTATACCTTTGTATGAAACTTAAACAAGACCCATGGTATGACCTCGAGTGTCAAAATGCAAGTACAGTACAGTATTAGGTCAGGCGAATTTTTTTTCGTCAAACGACAATTTTTTTTTAAAGTGAAAACTAAAGTGTTTATAAAGATACAGTAGTCTATATTTGTAAGAAAATGTATATAAAGGTGATTTAAAATTTACAGGCACATCGTAGTTCCAAAACGTCTATAGTACAACTATGATTAAGGAGGAATTTCTGCTTTTGATATAACTAAATGTTACTATCAATATTTCATTTTTTCAGTGACTTAAAATAAAAGTAGGTAAAGCCAAGTTAAACAAATTTGTAGCTGTGAGCTTTAAGATTTATATAAATGTAATGATGTAAGCAGTTGTAAGTTTATAAAACCACATTTACAGAACCAAGAAACAAAGACAGCAGTGACCTAACTACAGGTACTAACTTACCATAAGGAAGCATTGTACAAATTATTTAAAGCAATATAGTTAACTAGCAGTACAGTATTTGAATTAGAAAAGCTTATAACTAAATATTCCATTTTAGATAATTATTAAAGAAAGCGATGCAGTAGACTATACTGTACCAGTATTTGAAGTAGAAAAGCTTATAATAAAATACACAGGTAAATTTTCTAGCACAACTCAACACAAAAGCTTAGATTGAAATTGCATGTTTTAAAAAAAAACTAATTACAAGAACAAGTTACATAATCATATTTATTAATCAAAGTTAAAAACTTTCATTGTTATTTCAAAACAGGAGTGTTTTACCATTGACAGCATTAAGATGATTTCAATGCTGAATCATCTTTCACTTGTTTACAAGGAGACTTAATATTGGAAGTACAATAATGTATCTATGTTCTTATTGGTTTTCCATCAATCTAAAGGATTTCCATCATGAGCTTGCAGCTGTCATGTCTGGTATCTGTCCATTTCAGCTCTGCCAGAAGTTGTTACACAATATTTATTACTCTTAAAAACTCTTTGGAATTTATTTTGTTTCTTATAGACCACGGGTAGCCAAACCGTGGCTTGCTTGAATATATTGGCTCACCTCCTTTTTGCATCATAATTAATATAAAAGGTACCGGTAAATAAGAAAAATGTTTGAGCTTTATATTTATAAACTGAAGAGCTGGAGCTTGAAGACAAGCCCAACAATGTCTCTTTCTACTGCAACGTCTTGAATAGGTTTGCATTCCAGAGCAGTTCACTCATGGTAAGATCTGCCATAAGTGTAACAATGGAAAGGGATGATTTTGGCTGCCACACAAAAAATTAAAGAAATAAAATTACAAATGTATTGGCTGATACCAATACCTCAAAAATAGCCCGATACCACTGTTACTGATACATCAGTACATCTTTAATAAACAGGAAACTAAGAATCAATAGGAATAACAACTGATCATTTCATGCTGGCTAACATAAATGTTCTTCTTTACAATGATCAGACTTTATTCCTACTGATTTTCAGGTTCCTGTTTTTTGCCTTCCTAAAATATAGTGATCATTTATGGTTCTCAAATAAAAGAATTTACCTATACAATACTGAACCATTGCCCATAAAACAATGGTCATTTCTTTTTTTACTTTTTATCATCTCATTTACCTTACCTAACCTAACCTATCATTTGCTCTCCTATTCTAACAGTTTCGTAACTCACCAATATGTTAAGGGTTCGAGACTCTGCCTGGACATGCTTAAGAAGGGTGTAATCCAGTGTTGACCCTCCCGTACTTACACTGGATAGACCAACCACCTGAATGTTGACAAGTGGCAAAAATTATAAAAAAAACTATACTAACCTAACCAATACAAAACTAACCTTACGTATCACAATCTATCATAGCCCACACTAACCGAACCTATACCAACCTTTTGTAACCTATCCTATCCTCATACCCCCTACAGTATATAGCATTAATTTTTTCCTCTTCGCTACTGATCGGCGCATTAGCCGCTTGGGTGGTCAGTCACATTTCTGTTACGCACTGTTAGCAAGTACTGGGCATGCACAGACTCCTGAATGTATCTGAACCTGCTCCAGTGTTGGTGGTCAAGTTGGTCTTGAAAGAGCTCACACTCGGTGCCATCACAAGACTCTGGTAGATTGTTCCAAGAGTTCACAACTCTTCAAATTTTTTTTTAGGTTGGTTGGGTAATTAATCATTAGGTGAAATAATCCGGGGCAATAATCTTCACTTAATCAAAATTTGGGATTTAGTATTTAAAAGCAGGAAAATGGCAAGTCACTCTCCCATCCTTAACCGCGGCTTCTGTATTGACCTGAGGCATTCCGGAGGTGCCACTCGTCGACGCAGCTCATCTTGAGTCACTGTGATTTTCTGCTGCTCTCTGCTAACCATTAGAAGCGCCGGCACCCAGAACACCAACTCTGTAAAGGTTGATACAATTATTAGCCGTTTAGTATGGGATAATGACCTATTTGGAAGTAACCTAACCTAAAATTTGCTGGATAACTGAAACTATAATAGCCTTCATTTATACATACCCGAGTAATACGGGTCCAACTAATTACCCAAATGTAGCCACAATGGAGTCAAATAATGGTCCTACAAGAATAAATCAGACTGCCAATCACTTCTCGACTAGTATTTGGTGTCATAAAGTCACAAAAAATTGGTAAACTTAATTTAATCTGAGTTAATCGATCGAGTGCATGTACCTAACCTAACCTAACCTAACACAACTCAGATTAAATTAAGTTTACCAATTTTTTGTGACTTTATGACACCAAATACTAGTCGAGAAGTGATTGGCAGTCTGATTTATTCTTGTAGGACCATTATTTGACTCCATTGTGGCTACATTTGGGTAATTAGTCGGACCAGACTAATACATCACTAATACATGGGCAGTCATAAATCATAGTTAATACATGATACAAGACCGATTAAAACATTTATTCCTACATACATAACGTTAAATAAATCAGTAATATATCATACATGGCCATACATCACTCACATTAAACTCTCCTCTCACCTTTGTTCTCATGGTAGAGCTCCTCGCTGCCACTCACCACAGCCTCTTCCTCATCTTGTATTATGTGGACTATCTCTTCCTCATTAGCAGAACTGTTGGAGTTAAGAATCTCTTCAATAATCCCTTCCTCCTGACCCGCCATCCCCGTCACACTGACTTAACCACTCAATGATGGATAGATTATATATCACTAACCTCTAATACAGTTATGATCAAGACTTGGCTGAAAATTATATTATTTCATTAATTATCAGTATAAACTAGATAATACCGTATAAATTATTCGTAAGTAAACTAAAAAAATGTAGATTTATTTCCTATTACTTAAACATTAGTAACTTGTAAATAAAAAAAAATAGACAATTATTTTACTATATTACTCTATTTTTATTATTGATGTGAATTTAAATTGAATTAAATAGTATAACGATTATCCTAAAAACTCCAACTAGTCTTATTTTCTATTATTTAATCATTAGTATATTATAAATTATATAAATAACCCTCAATAATTATGGTATTTTGTGTTATAGAAGTTAATTATTCTCACTTTAATTAGGTAAGAAAGAGGTGTAGTAGTGAGGTATCCTGAGACACCAGACAAACCATAACACGTGTAGTTGGAGTGATTGTCTTGGTCACTCATCACTGTTAATGGCTTGGGCTCTGTTACTGTTGGTAAGTACTGGCTCTCTGTTACATACTGTTGGCAAGTACTGGGCTCTGTTTTACTGTTGGTAAGTACTGGCTCTCTGTTACATACTGTTGGCAAGTACTGGGCTCTGTTACTGTTGGCAAGTACTGGGCTCTTACTGTTGGCAAGTACTGGGCTCTGTTACTGTTGGCAAGTACTGGGCTCTTACTGTTGGCAAGTACTGGGCTCCGTTACTGTTGTCAAATACTGGCTCTGTTACACACTGTTGGCGTGTATAATTAAAACAAGACCAGCAATATACCTCAAGTATGACTGTCTTCTCATGTTAACAGACTGGTAATGAAGTACAACAGTTCAGGCTGGTCTTTTTACTGAAATAAATATACTGTACTGTATTACAATCATTTTACAGTTTTCCTTCACCAAATCTGAACTGTATATATTTATAAAAAGGCAACACACACTCATCTATAATCCAAATTTGATAATACTTTAGAAATTACCTTGTGAATGTAAAATATTTAACTACTGTACTGTATCTGGTAATATTAAAAGGAAATGGTTAATATTGATGACTGACCCGTGGACGAGTTATTTGGTTTACTGTTTATTTTCTTACCATATTTATTTTCAACAGAGAGTTCTGATATGTTAATCATTTCTTTTGCAATTGCTTCGTTTGGTAGATATTTAGGAGCCTAGGCACTCGCTACTTTGTTGTCTTGTTGGTAATGCGGCGGTGACGTCTCATCCCAGGATGTAAGCGGCAAATCATATTTACGTATTTCAAAGCACTCTGCCGCCAGGGCTTGAACAACGCAGATGCTCAGTGTATGCTTAAGAACCGTTTGGTACAGACAGCTGCTCTCACTTCCACAAAAAACGTAAAATTACATCATAGCATAGTAATTACTTTCTTTTTAATATACCGGGGATCCCCCGGATAGGAAGTTAGGTAAGGTTAGGTTGGTGAGGTTTTCTAACAATGCTTCTGCTGTTTGTTTTTCATATCAACTAAAGTTAGGTTAAGTTTAATTTAGAAATAACCACTTTTTCAACACATGACAATGTCCACTATAAAACACAGTGAAGTTGCGCCGTTTTTATAATCGTGTTCCGTGAAAAATCGGCCACGGGTCAGTCGTCAATAATTGCCAAAGAAACTTGCATATTTATTTATTGTTTCTCTCTTTTAGGTATGGATTGAAAAAAATGATCAAAAGTCTTGTAGGTTCGGCGGTACCTCAAGTGTGAAGGTACCTGAAGAAGATACTCCTGATGGTACATTACAGTGTATATATGGACGACACTCCGCTGACTGCATCTCTGCCATCTGTCTACATGTGTTAGATTTGGTTGTATAATTGTAAATATTTTCATGTGAATGATGGAAAGTTATATTCATAATTGAGAGTATTTCATAGTGAGTTGTTGAGTGACTTATAACCCTAACTTGTGAAAATATTTTCAGGAATTAGAGTGTGTCTCATGTACGATGCAATGGTTTAGAAAAAATAGATGGGAAATATAATTTCTAGGTAAACAAATGGTAGCTAACTATTAGCCCGACAAAAAATACCGATCAACGGTCAGACTGTATTTCATCGAGTGTCATTTAGAAGTGTATTACAGAGTGAACACATAAATTGATTTATTTTCACATAACAGGGAAAAATTATACAGGTATTAATGTATATAAAAAAGATGGTAAAATTCTTGCCTTAATGTTGTTTGATAATGATAACTTAATTATTACCAAAGACACGAAGAAAAATAAAAAGAAGTCAAAAAGAACTTTAAATGAACACCAAGACAATGGACAGGCTTTGAACACCATGAGTGAACTTGCAGAAAACACACTAAAGAAGAAAAAGAAGAAACGTAAGATAAATTCATTTGACAATGAAAGAATTGAAAATAATGATAGTAGTATGTTTCACCTTGAGAATGAGCAGTCTGGTAGCTTTGAGTTGGAGTTTACGGAAAGCCTTGATGTTCACGTTCGCAAAAATAAATCAAAGAAGCGCAAGAGGACAATTTTTCCAGGTACTGGTGGTCAGGTATGCCATGATGCCAGTTGCCATGACGATGACATGAAGCCAAAGAAACAAAAATTGGGGCCGTCTTTGTCACTTGAGAATGAATTGGACAATCCTGACTTTGGAAACAAAATAAAATATAAGAAAGCAAAAGGTTCGTGGAGTTTATCTGATGTGGATGTCAAAGCTGGTATAGATGTTGATGTTACTATGGACGTTGATACCACGAAACACGATGTAACTCACAGCTTCAAGAAATGCAAAAAATCCAAAAACATTCTTGAGGTATCTTGTACCGAAGAGAAAAATACTGCACAGGCAAGTGACGATCGTGATGCTGAGGACACAACACACACCTTGATATTTACGTCTCAATTTGATGACAATGACAACACCATCAATAATAATAATAAAAAGAAGAAAAGTAAAAAGAAAGTAAAACAAGATCTTGATTCATCACTTGATGCTCATGGTTGGGATACAACTCACTCCATTGATGGTCAAAATGATGATAAAGACAAAATTATTAAGAAGAAAAGTAAAAAGAAAGTAAAACAAGATCTTGATTCATCACTTGATGCTCATGGTTGGGATACAACTCACTCCATTGATGGTCAAAATGATGATAAAGACAAAATTATTAAGAAGAAAAGTAAAAAGAAAGAAAAACAAGATCTTGATTCATCACTTGATGCTCATGGTTGGGATACAACTCACTCCATTAATGGTCAAAATGATGATAAAGACAAAATTATTAAGAAGAAAAGTAAAAAGAAAGAAAAAACAAGATCTTGATTCATCACTTGATGCTCATGGTTGGGATACAACTCACTCCATTAATGTCAAAATGATGATAAAGACAAAATTATTAAGAAGAAAAGTAAAAAAGAAAGTAAAACAAGGTCTTGATTCATCACTTGATGCTCATGGTTGGGATACAACTCACTCCATTAATGGTCAAAATGATGATAAAGACAAAATTATTAAGAAGAAAAGTAAAAAGAAAGTAAAACAAGATCTTGATTCATCACTTGATGCTCATGGTTGGGATACAACTCACTCCATTATTGGTCAAAATGATGATAAAGACAAAATTATTAAGAAGAAAAGTAAAAAGAAAGAAAAACAAGATCTTGATTCATCACTTGATGCTCATGGTTGGGATACAACTCACTCCATTAATGGTCAAAATGATGATAAAGACAAAATTATTAAGAAGAAAAGTAAAAAGAAAGTAAAACAAGATCTTGATTCATCACTTGATGCTCATGGTTGGGATACAACTCACTCCATTAATGGTCAAAATGATGATAAAGACAAAATTATTAAGAAGAAAAGTAAAAAGAAAGTAAAACAAGATCTTGATTCATCACTTGATGCTCATGGTTGGGATACAACTCACTCCATTAATGGTCAAAATGATGATAAAGACAAAATTATTAAGAAGAAAAGTAAAAAGAAAGAAAAACAAGATCTTGATTCATCACTTGATGCTCATGGTTGGGATACAACTCACTCCATTAATGGTCAAAATGATGATAAAGACAAAATTATTAAGAAGAAAAGTAAAAAGAAAGTAAAACAAGATCTTGATTCATCACTTGATGCTCATGGTTGGGATACAACTCACTCCATTAATGGTCAAAATGATGATAAAGACAAAATTATTAAGAAGAAAAGTAAAAAGAAAGTAAAACAAGATCTTGATTCATCACTTGATGCTCATGGTTGGGATACAACTCACTCCATTATTGCTCAAGATGATGACCAAGAAAACAACAGCATTAAAAAGAAGAAAAAATTTATACACCTTGACTCATCACTGGACACAACAGAGACCTTTTTAAACACCCCTTACCAAGATATTAATTCTCAAGTTGGTGATCAGGAAAATATTGTCATTACCAAGAAAAAGAGTAAAAAGGAAGCGAAGGAAGGTCTTTATTTATCACCCGACACTGATATTGTGGGCTGTGGTGATGGCCATTTTAGGAAGAAAAAGAAAAAATCAAAGAAAGGTTCTATTATGGGCCAATATAACTTTGGTGGTGATAATGTTATTGAGGGAATGACGGGGGACCATAGCGTGTCTCCTGTTGCTGAAACAAGACTAGGTTGTGAAGTTACTGATGAACATTTGAAGAAGAAGAAAATGAAGAAAGGTAATAATAGTAATCGACATATTTCATGGTGTGAAGATACACTTACTTCACAGGTGTGTAGTGACGGGTTGAATGACAGTATGGAATATGAGTCATATATTAATGATTTTCCTTCAGATAAAAGCCTTCTTGATGTCAGCTCTTTGTCTATCACAGAGAGTTGTCCTGACAGGAACACAGAACAAGGTAACCAAGATGTTGGGAGACCTAAAGAAAATGAACAAGTGAGTCAATCAACGGATGATTATGATTTTGATGACGAGTGCTACTCCGTATCATATAAAGCAAAAGCGAAGAAAATGGGAACATTACGTGTTGATAAACGTTCATATAATTTATATTTTGATGATGATGGCTATTATAACAGTTTGTCTTCAAGAAGACACACTGGCTTTGTAAGACTCAGCAGGTTGGGCAAGAACAGGACGCTTGAGGAAAGGATGTATGAATTTCCGCCTGGAGTGGGAGTCCCTCAGGAAGAGATTGAAGATATTCCATTGTCTCATTGCCATTGGACTTTAGTTCAGGAGAAACTAACAGACAATGAATTTACCAAAGAGGAAATTGAAGAACAGGTGATGGGTAAGCTTAACTATCTTCGTGATTACTTCAAGAGACTAGAAATGGGTCAACTGACGGAGGAAGAATTGAAGGAACGTCGCCCGACACACTACAACGATCCCTACTTACCAACGCCTCAACATCTAAAGGTGAGTACAGGGATTTGTAATGTTGTCACAGCGTCTAAATGGTGTTCAGGTATCACTAATGTTTCCTTCCATAGCTTCCTTGGGTAATTGGTGGTGATGTGGGTATGGGTGGTGATAAATAATGGTGGTGGTGGTGGTAGTTATTTAGCATAATACAATGACCAAAATTTTACCTCTTATTATTTCTGTCTTGATTTTAGCAAAGATTGACAAACAAGACAGACTTGATTGATAGATAATTATTAAATTCATCATGAGAGTGTACATTAATTAAAATGCATTTAATGATATCTAGCTATGGGGGGGGAGGGTTGATGTGCTTATGTATGTAATAGCTAGTAGTCATTGATAACATAAAGGACTTCTCTATAAAGTTTAATGTACCATACTGTGTTATCTTTTAACTAGCACAATAATATTCATGTTAGTGATGTTTTAGACTACAGTATGTGTGATATGTCTTGTAGCTACTGTAGAATGTCTTGTAGCTGTAGGATTTATCAGAAAATTGGCTTTATCGGACTGGCCTTCACCCCGTAATAAGTCCAATGTCCAATATACGTAGGTTTGACTATAGATAAGTGTGATTCATGTGATTATTGACCTTGGTGTGGTTTGTGTATGTAAGGGCCAATAGCAAGATCAGCTGGGATGTACACCAAGCTGTGGTATCCCAAAAGTCGTAATACAATGGAGTAAAAATTGTGCGATTTTTCAAGAATGGCCATGGTGGTACCCGACCGTCGTTTGTTGTTACTACATCATTGTAGGGTAGTCGGGTGTACTAACTGGCGGAAGACTTGGGGGTTGGTATGCTTGCACCCTCAAAACGTTGTCAGTGGCACAAAACGTTTACTCTTGCTACACTATTTACGAGCATAAAAATACTTGAATCTCAAGCTATTCTTTGATTATAAGTCAATTCTGGGAATGAAATACGATCATTTACAGTGAATATAGGTAAATTAAGCCTGTGACATTCATAAAAACGTAGGAATAGCGTGCAATATCTGTGCCTTTCTTCTTTATCCATATTAAATCTAACAATAAAGTAATAAGTTTGTCATGAACTTGGGGTTGGGTGAGTGTAATAAAGAGAACTATGGCCTGTTCTGTGGATGAAGTCAGTAGAATATAACAAAGTACAGTATTAGGTATCATAATGTTGCTATGGCAGTGATGAACTCACTGTACAGATGAATTGGGATAAAATCTTGAAAAAATATCACCATAACTGTTAGTTTTCTATCAAACAGAAAATTATCTTTGTACCAAAAATTTTTACTTTCATATTATACAAATATAAAGGTCAGTTATCTACAAGATATGAAAACTTGAGATAATGGTTCCTACTTGTCTCCACCTGATTATAGTAATGCAATAAATACCCTTTCCAAAAAGCAAGACATGAGCACTTTCCCAATGTCAGGAGTAAAAATGTATACAATATGCTAATGACATGGACTAAACCAGCAGTTGGAGAAAAGTATCTGCTGTGTAAATGGTCTTTTATTTGGAAAAATATTCCATGTAAATACTGTACTGTATATGGATCCTCACCAGAGAGTTTTCATATAGTTAGTGTGCAGACATTTGATTACAAGGCATATACTGTACTCAACTATTATGGAAAGGAAGACATGTTTGGTTAGGTTAGATTAGGTTCATCTTGTGAACAAATGTCATGGAACCCATATACAGTAGGTATATTCATGAAATTCTACAGTCTGCAATGTTAATTGCAAATTATTCCTGCATTTTTTAATGTTTAAATATATACTGTAATAATAATAAGGATAAGAATACAGTCGACCCTCGTTAATTCGGACTAATAGGGGGGGAAGGGTGTCAGTTTTAGCCGATTGTCCGAATTAACCGATTTAGGGGTTAATATTGCATTATATTTCAAAGTCATTGTTTTCGTCACGATTTTATCCCACTTTCCACTGTAATACGTACGTAATTTCAGCAAAAATATTACATTTCCGTGAATATATTATATCAAGCACAGTATGAATAGAATACCATTGTAATATAACAGTATTTTAACCGAAAACTACTAAAAAAACGAATAACATCTCAAGAACATCGGAAGCTTAGGTGAAGTCTTTTGTTTTCGTCATGTATTTTATCCTATTTTACATTGAAATACATCACGTTTCAGCAAAACTACTATTTATTTCCAAGAATATATTCATTCAGGCGCAGTTTAGGTAAACTATACATGTGATGTAACAGTTTTTTAACTGAAAACGATTCGAAAAACACGTACCCTCTAGCCCTGTTCAAGGAGAGGACTGGGAGAAGCTGTTTGGTGCTGCAAACGATGACAAGGAAAATGATTTGGATGAATTTTAATGAAAATATTCAGAAATATGGTATCATAGTCTTTATTCAAGTCAATTAGGATAGAATATTATTGTAATACAACAGTTTTTTAACTGAAAACCAATCGAAAAGTGATTACGGTAACATCTTTTGAACGAAAGAAAGCGAAAGTCATTGTTTTCGTCACGATTTTATCCCACTTTCCACTGTAAAACGTACGTCATTTCAGCAAAAATATTACATTTCTGTGAATGCATTATATCAAGCACAGTATGAATAGAATACCATTGTAATATAACAATATTTTAACCAAAAACTATTAAAAAAATGAGTAACTTCTCTAGAACATCGGAAGGTTAGGTAAAGTCTTTTGTTTTCGTCATGTATTTTATCCTATTTTACATTAAAATACATCACGTTTCAGCAAAACTACTATTTATTTCCGAGAATATATTCATTCAGGCTCAGTTAAGGTAAAATATACATGTGATGTAACAGTTTTTTAACTGAAAACGATTCGAAAAACACGTGTACCGTGTAGTTGATACTCAACAGCTGGTGGTGCGTCATGTGTCGTTGTAAACAATAGGAGGTTGAAGTAGATTACCAGGTATTATATTAAGTATGAAATATCTAAAAGGTTTTTATTACCGGTATTTTTTGTAGATCAATGAGAACTGTGATACCGTATATGATATAATAAGTTAGCCTGTGCTAAGAACTTCAACATAGACTACTGAAAACACGTTGTAAGGTAATTTAACCTATTGTAAGTTGGTGAGCTTCATTTGCTGAAGGAACTGCACAACTTTTCATTACTAATTGGTAAAAATTTTACGTTTCCATTGTTTACTGGCAGTAAATGGTAAATATTTTTCATGTCTGAAGCTAAAAGTTGCATCCCCCTCCACACTAGTGGTGGAGATGTTACATTTGACCAAAAAGACGCTGATGTTTTATCCCAGCAGTGGGTGGACCAGCATTTTAGCTTAAGGTCCGCGTAGGTAATACAGTGGGGTATGCTATAACGAACGGATCCTACTACGAATATTCCTATAACGAACGGTTTTACCTATAAAATTGAGAATGCTATAACGAACGAAACTCCTACAACGAACATTATTTAAATTTTTTTTTTCTAATTTATTGTTTTTTTATTACAAATATTAATGATATTCTTTATTTCAGGGGTTTAGATGCATATTTATGCACTTTTTTACAATTTTTACAATTTTATATTATATTTTTCAGTGTTAAGTGGTTGTATTTGGGGGCCTGAAACGGATTAATCCTATTACGAACGAATGTTATAACGAACAAGGTTCTAGAACCAATTAGATTCGTTATAGCATACCCCACTGTATTCCTACAAATCTTAAAAAAAAAAAAAGTTCGTTCAGATTTTGTCCGAATTATCCGAAATCCGGATTAAAGGGGTCCGAATTAACGAGGGTCGACTGTACAATGATAATGCTTATGTCAGAATATAGCCTTTATTTAAAGCAGGATATTTTATAATACAGGTTGTACCTCTCTAGTCCGGCATTCTGTGGTCCGGAAACTCCCGTGGTTCGGAACGATTTTAGTTTGTCCAATAGGTAGATAGGCAGCTTTTTTTTTTTTTTTTTCTGCATTATTATTATTATTATTACAGGAGTATTAAATTTTTGCCCCTCAGGCCCCAATGTGGGTCAGTGACCTATGCTCGGGTGGGCTAATCCCCATAAAAAACAACATCAACAACAAAGCTGCGGGAAATTAAGGTTTGTTTACATCCGGCAGTTCGGCTGCTCTCTCTCTCTGCTTGTCTGTACAGAGTACAACATTTAACCCTTCAATATATATGAGCAGTAAATAAGTGTTGCTTTCATATTCTTATGTATAGTAATGACGATATGTTTTCACATGTGCGCACTTACATACGCGATCTCTCTTTTTTTTCTTTACCATTAATGGTAAGCTACTTATATTGTTCCATTTATTACATTAAATAACATTACCACTTCAAACAAGCTTATTAATTTTTTTACATTCATTTTACTACAGCTACAATCAGGATCTTATTTTCTTCAGTTTTATATGTAGAACCAATCAGTCACTGGTTTTGTAAGCTTTAACATAAACAATGCCGGCAGCCGTCACGTCTCCTCGTGTTAATATTCCACGTATTATTAATGAATTGTATTGTTCATTATACACACAAACATTAATTCAATAAAAAAAAATCAGAAACATTAATTAAAATATATATGAATTGTAAATTAGTGTTGCTTTCATATTCTTATATAGAGTAATGACGATATGTTTTCACATGTGCGCACTTACATACGCGATCTCTCTTTTTTTCTTTACCATTATCGTTAGCTACTTCTATTGTTCCATTTATTAACATTAAATAACATTACTTAAAACAACCATATTAATTTTACTACAGCTACAACCAGGGTCTTATTTTCTTCAGTTTTATATGTAGAACCAGTCAGTCACTGGTTTTGTAATCAACGAAAACAATGCTGTCTCATTTCCTTGAGTGTTTTAATATTCTTTGTAATATTAATGAATTGTATTGCCCATTTTGCACACATAAACATTAATTCAATCAAAAAGACATTCGGTAATAAACAATAATGAATCTTTTGTACATTAGATAAATGACGCTGTTTACATGATTGTGCACGTCGTCTGAACGTTGGTGGGCCGTTCAAACACGTCGAAATTCGAGTTTCTGCCGTCAAAATTTTAAATTGTTTTGTTTTTGTGTTCAAATAAAAAATGTTGAATTAAAAACTCGCAAAATTTGAGAAGCTACTGTACGACATTTAACCCTTCAATATGTCTTCAAAGAGACCATGAAGCAGAGAAAGTGGTGCTAGTGCTTCGAAGCATAAGCACAAGTCACTATCTATCCAGGAAAAGGGGTGAATTTCCATGGTCCGGCACCGGCCAGGTCCCGAGGTTGCCGGACTAGAGAGGTACAACCTGTATATGGATGATCAGGAGTAAAGTACATTATTTTAAAAGAAAAATCATCCACCAATTTCACAAATATATTAATACGTAATATCCATGTATGTGTTGCAGAGAGTAAAAAAGTAAATACAAAATTAATTAAGGCATATGTTATGATTTCTCCAAGGCCATATTTTCAGAAAATTCCAGAAACTGCATTTTTTCTGGTCTATGAGTAATTTGGGGATTTTACGGAAAGTCTCCAAATGTTTCTGTTCCGAGTCTGGGAACCAATTCCGAGGTTAGGCTAGGCAGCAAATTCCAAAATCTTCCCTGGAACCGGAAAAATTCCCCATCAATCATGATACCAAGATTTATTTCTTCAGTATTGGTGAAAGGTGAATAGTCAGCTGTATCTCCACCTGTAAGTGAAAATATAGTCATTAATATTGTGTTAGTTAAATTTGCAAATTCTAAACATCTTTATTTATGAGGGTTAATACTTATAAGTTTCCAACACCTACATATTGTGGGTAATTTTGTCTGTTAAAAAAAAAAAATGCAATCCAATGGAACCTCAGATTTGTTTGGTTTGATATGCAACACACACTCAAAAAATGGATTTTCTTTTCTAATGTAGATTTTTATGGTGATTCCAAAACCGATCCATTTTTTGGAGAAATTCGTAGAAAAAAATTATAAGCCCTTTAAAAATTTAATGTTCTACATCAAAATGTTAACCTAACCTAATTAACTTAACCTAGCTGGAAAACATTGGTCAACTTAAAATCCTAAAATTCCCTGGATGACCAAAAAGGTAATAAGACCTTAAATTTCATTTATTTTGGAAGACATTATTCATTTTTGTTGGAATCATGGTCATACAAAGCCAATATATATCTGTACTTGATTCTACCACTGTCAATGGCAGAGTGAATTATTACCACCACTCCAAATGTTGCACAAAAAAGTGGTAAGGTAGTTCTTTCTTGCAATACATTGAGTCACTAAGGGAATTAAAAAAAGAACATGAATTTGTCACTGAATTTATCTTATTACCTGTAGTAACAAATTGTGGTTAAACTGATACACAAATGAAACATGCCTCGGAACTACCTGGCGCTCGTTACTTGGCATATTTGGACTTATTAAAATATGAAATTTACGCTACTAAGTATTTATACTAATGAAATAATTATTTTGGTAGTGCTGGACGGTTATTAATTGCGCTCATTACGAAAATTGGGTCGATATTATTTCTGATAAGGGATGTCATTCACCATCCCAGGTGGAGCAGTTCTCAAGACTCTTCAAATAGACCACTTATGACTTTTTTTAGCTTAATTTGATTTCCATACATTTCTACACATAAATTATTTGGATTATTTATCTTAAAGGCTTACCTTTTATTATGGTAGGAAGAATTTGGAGGATTTAAGCGGCGATGGGGCAAGTAGAGGCTGGCGGATGTTCCTAAACAAACATGGAATTCTTTTAAAAAGAACACTAAAATTCTTCATGTGTTGTTCTATATGGAGGATATCTTATAAAAACATATTATTCCTTTGCAGATTTATACAATTCATGTGCATCCAATTCTATTTCTTTTGGTTTCAAAATATAGTTCTATCGTAGTGATCATCGGGCGGGGGTGTGAGTACCACGGAAATCTCCCACGGTTCAATAACGAATCGTGCATACTGTATTTTTTTTTTTTTTTTTAGCCCAGAACGCTTCTTGCACACCAACCATGGGGCTACTACAGCATGGTATACACCACAGAGCCTCTTGCAATTGGCCCTAAGAGTTGAGATATTGTTTGGCCTGAAGGTGTTTGAGGTAGATTTAAACAAGTGAAATTTTTTTGATAGGTACTTTTGTGTAATTTTATTGAGATTTAAACAAGTGAGGTTTTATAGTAATGACTTTTGTATAATTTTATTGATCTGTTTCTGTTTTACAGTTTTTTGAGAACCTGAACATCAAGATAACATGGGAATTAAGCACACTCCATAAGTACTGTCTCTTTAACACTCTGGGTTTTTGGTTCAGGGAGATATTTTTTGAGGAGACTGGATTGAAAGTGAAATCACATCATGCATCGATCGAAGAGGATTTGCAGTTGTTGAGTAATTGGCAGAGATTTCAGGAGGTGAGTAAGGTTATCATATCAGTGTACGAACCTTACCTAACCTCAGACGATTTTATTCAGCTTAGAGGTGACCCCATAGTGAAAGTGCTTATTACCAACCATTAGAGTGGAAGCAGTGTTGTTAATTAAAAGTGAAACTGGGTTCCATAGTCATGACAGTGTGTTAGTAACTGTGTGAATACAGCACTGGAGGCATCATGGCTGGCACTGCACTTGGCTGTCTTCATTTCCCCAACTGTTAACTTGGGTACTGTTACTCTTTACTTCTGGGTGGACGAAGATTGCCTCAGGTGATATTGGAGACCCTTAATACAAGAAACAAGTTTTGTGTTACGCAGTTTAAAGTTTTTGAAAGATATAAATTTACTGAATTTTATTTATTTAGTTATTTTTAATTTTTCCTTCCTACTGTAATACTGTACATATGCCTTTTTCTCTGTTTCAGGAGTACAAATTTTATGACGCGCGGCCCCTGGTGTCATTGAGGACGTGCCGGGTTTTTGGTGATGGGGACAGAGTGGAATTCCCTAATTTTAATTACATAGACTTTTTTAATAAAAGAAAATTTGCACTCTATTTGCTGAGAGGCTTACCTGACAGAGACACCACTTTTGTAAGACCCTTGTTGAGTTTCTGATGATGTATTACCCTAGAATCTGAATGACATGAAGTAACATATAATATTATAAACTGTTTGAGACTAATAACTCAATCTTGATTATATATCATTAAAAAGTGATATATTGTAGTGTTGTTTGTTATTTAAATTTTGTCTAACTAACTAAAATATCTCTTGGAGTTTTTTTATAGGAAAAATTAATCCTTTGTTTCTGTAAGAAATAAAACAAAATTTCTGTGATCATATGACACTCCCAGCTCAGCTCAGTATCATGTTCGCACTCTTTACTTATTGACTGTACACTTGAGGTATAAAATAAGAATTTAGGATCAATTGTTTCTTTCTAAAAGTCAACGCCTTCCCTTACAGGCTATTGACAGGCTGAAAACTATGTGCACCTACTTGAAGGACAATGTACTGGTGAGGTACAAGCGAATTGTGACAGGAAGGATCTTGGCAAAAATGGAATTCATTATAAGAAGGTTTGGTAGTAGAGACGCTTTTCCTGCTGCTGAACTGCTGATTGGACCGTACACAACTGCCCATTTTAAGACTTTCTTCGTGACTCACTTGAAGTTGCGGAACATTAAATGTAAGGGCACCTGTGGTGTACTGTACTGTAATGATTTTTCATTTTGTAGAAGGAGAGTAAAGAGAGAATGGTAACAGGTGAGTATTTGATGAGTTTAAGATATTGAATAGGCTCTGCCTCAGCTGCACTACAGAATACAGTTAAACCTCCATACAACGGACTTTTCTCTCCAAATAATCCGTTAGAGGTCATGGGGTCCCATACAGCTCATAGCCCAGGTATCAAGGACTGAAGAACGTGGCCCTGGTGCTGTCTCATTAAGTCGGGACATTAAGTTATGGTCAAGAGAATAATACAGTTACTCCCCTTGTATCAAGTCAGGTCAGTCCAGGGAAGGTGAACGTTGATGATGACACGTTATGGAACAAAAAATGGCAACAAATTTCATTGATAGATTCCCCGAGTTGCTTACCGAGTCTTTGAATTTTGTTCAGTTTCTTTTCAAGACAGTTGTAAAACAGTGTGGCTCTTTTGTCCTCGAAATAGCAGAATTACAGGCTGACAAAAAGGCAAGGATGATTTTTGCCATCTATGATGACATATCAATGTTTTGGGTTATTTATCAGATTGACATTAAGCGGTTAAAAATCAAACTGTCTAAGGTTCTGATACAATTTGGAAGCTCCTATGTCTGTGAGGCAGCTTTCTTGTAAATGGTGTTTATCAAATTTTTTTTATCGTAACCGCATATCAAACTTAAACTTGGAAAATTTTGGCTATGTTGTTTAATCACATAATTATACCCCCAGTTAACAGAATTTTCTTAAAATGATAATATAGTGATATCCCGTTAGCTGGAACAATTGGCGCAGAACACATCCGGGAATGAGAGATTTCCAGGTAACGAGACGACTTTCTCAAAGCCGGAATTGTTCAGAAAATTCCGGCTTTGGGAACAATTTTCCGAGAAAATTTCAATTCCAGCTATCGGAGAGTTCGGTATTTGGGGGATTCCAGCTAACGTAGATATTATTGTACACACGTTACATATGAATTACGACAGATGTGACTTGTATTGAAAATTAATTATATGATGATGCATACAGGTCACATACGAAATACGTACTGCACGACATAGTTGTAACTAAAAAAAATTTATGTTAGGTTGCTTAACCATCCACTTATATCCCCAGGTATAGAACATTAAATTATTAAAGAAACATGTCATATTAAACATGACAGAGTTGCAGCCTGTTTCTAATAGTGTTTACTTTTAGACTTATCAATTATGTAATACAGTTTCCTTACTTGTTTTTATAGTTAAGTACGTTTATCAATATGTCCGTATTTACTCTTCAGGATCCTCATATATACTGTACAGTATATGTAATGACCTGGGGTCGCACTGGATAGGCGACAGTACTAGACGGGGTCGCACTGGGAACCCCTGCGTTAGATGGAGGTTTCACATTTAACAGACCCTCTATATTACAGACTTTCCTCTCCATATAGTCTATTAAGCAGAGGTTTTACTGTACCGCGTATTACTTATTTTCTAACGTGTGATGAGTATTTCAGGTTAGGTCTTGTTATACTGTACAGTATAGTGGTCCCTCGGTTAACGAACAGTTCGATTAACGAAATTTCGATTAATGAATTACCTCCCATAAGGAGTAAATACTGTATCAAGAAAGTTGTGCTCTTTAATATTTTTGCATTTTTTGTATTACATTTATTATTCATTTTAAAATTAGTTAACATACCGTATATCTCGGCCTACAAGACGGAATTTGAAAAAAAAAAATCAGCCCTAAGTTAGGGGGTCGTCTTAAGCACCAGAGATAAAATTCTTACCTCTTAAATATTGGGGTTTAGCGTGTCAAGAGTGGTGATGGAAACATGGTAAACCACTCACAAAGTCCTACCACTAATTATTTTATACTGAAACTTACGTTTGGGAAGCTGGATTAAAATGAAGATTACCGGTATATTAAAATAATAAAAATGTATTATAAACCAGTCTAACATACCGTAAAAGAACAATATACCCCGGTAATAAACACAGCTGCTATCATCACCGACCCCCACCCCCATTTGCCAGTGACAAGAAAGGGGAAGTGACCTTGACTGTGACCGCCTGTGGCTATTTTTAGCCGTCCTTGTGTTCGGAGGTGGTCAGTAATGCATATCTGTATATTTACTGATCATAATACTTATCTCCTATAAATAATTCATTTAAAATTTATTTTTTTACAAAGAATATTCAGTAAATGACTGCGTTAATTCTTGAAACTACCGACAGTGGTAAATTTAGGATATAAATGATGAACAGAAGTCACGTCATGGATTCGGAGTTTGGTCCTTAATGATCACCATAAATGTCTGGTCAACTTCACCTACCAGGTATAATGGTAGCCTCCCTTTTTCGCGAAACAAGTATATAAATTAAAGAAAATACTTGCAGTGTGTTTAATGTATTACAGTATATTATAAATAAATAAATAAACAAATAAATCGGCAAATCTATTTCAAGTAAATGGAAATATTTTACTCACACCAACATTAGTTCCAATTAAATAACTGCCGCTTAAGTGAGTCACTAGTGTACACCAGCCGGTAAAATTTGATGCCAATACTTGAAGTGAATTGGCATTATTTTAAATAACCAACCATAAATAAATGGAAAAAAGATCAAAGGTGAGAAACATTATATTGTAAGTATGTTGTGTTGTCAAAGGAAGAGAAACAATTGAAACTGCAATTGTGTGTAAATGAGGCAGAAAGATAAATCAGCAACCTAAGACTTGGTCACAATTTTCGTGATGCCATATGGAAGTACTGGTAGGGTCTACCATTAGACAATACTGTACATTATGCTTCCAATATCTTCCCAGGCAGTAGAATCTCCCTGTTTGGTAGCTGCCTAAAACTTTTAGTAATATTACTTTGATACAACATGATAAATTAGACAAACAATGAAAATAAACAAACAAAAGTTATTTACCAAGACCTTCTCTCTCAGAGCAGATGGAGAGGAGATAAGGAGGCTATTTATAGCCTGTCTTTGTGTAGGAAGTCGACCACACTAGAAATAATTCATTTAAAATTTATATTTTTTGCCTTTGAAGATGTCTTGAATAAAGACGAAAGCTAAGGTGCTCCGTTGTTTCCATTTACTGTACCCGTGTGATTTTATCAAGATTTATCTTATCCACGTTTTCATTGTGGATTTACATGAAATATAAATATATATATATATATATACAGTTGTACCCCACTTAACGCGGTCAATAAAACCCAGAGGGTACCGTGTTAAGTGAAAACCGCGTTAAGTGAACAACAGAACATATGGGATTAATTCCAATAGAAACTGGCCCATCCCCAAACTCCACTTTTTCCGACACAATACCTATGTTCTAGTAAAAATAACATCTTAATTTTATGATGGTACATGAACACAATTAATACTTAAGAGAAATAGAGAAATACAGTCGCCAAGTTAATGTCCATTCAAATAATGGACTCGACTCCCTCCCCCTCTCACACTACACTGCTGGCTCTTCCCTCTGGCTCTTCCCTCTGGCTCTTCCAGCAATTTAAATTATATTCTGGCCGGGTAATTTGTATGAATTTTATGAGCTAAAACAAATATCTTCAGTTAATAAAAAAAAAAAATATTCTTCACAACACTATCTGCCAATCAAAGTACCCCAACTTGCCTCCCCCCCTCTTCCAACCGTGCGGTCAGTCCCAACCCTCTACCCCACCCCCACCAACCCTCCCTTCAAGAGTTTTTAACATTTAGTATTAAATAATACCTCAGATTAAAGTTAGGATAATATAATTGACATTGCTGGATTCCTTGAAAGCCCAGGAATATTTTGAATACAAATGTCATATATTTTGCACAAAAAATAACATATTTACTCAGAATAAACTTTATATCTAAAATTTGTATGTCTAATGCAAAATCTATGATGTTTATATTCAAAATGATCACCAAATTGTAAGAATTCCAGCAATGTAAATTATATTCTGGCTGGGTAATTTGTATGAATTTTATGAGCTAAAACAGGCAGTCAGGCAGGGTGGCGGGTGGGGCAAATCTAAAAATAGCTCTCGAGCCGGACACTCACCGCGTATATGGGGAAAAAACCCGTGTTAAGTGAAAGTTCAGCTCTGGCAAGGCACCGCGTATATGGTAAAATGCGCTAAGTGAAACCGCGTTAGGCGGGGTAATACTGTATATATATACTGTATATATATACACACGTAACCTTTTTCACTCAAATCCTAAAGAAACACCACAATTAGAATACGGTGGTAGCTGTTGTATAAACAGTGGGAACACAGTCCCACCACCGACACGAGGGAACACTCCCACCACCGATCGTTTCATGCGAAGCAAGCGTATAAATTAAAGAAAATACTTGCAGTGTGTTTAATATGTTACAGTATATTATAAATAAATAAATAAACAAATAAATCGGTAAATCCATTTCAAGTAAATGGAAAAATTTTACTCGACACCGACATTAGTTCCAGTTACCGATAAATAGCAGACGCTTCAGTGACGTCACTAGTGTTTACACTACACCAGCGGGTAACATTTGATGACATTACTTGAAGTGAATTGGCCTTATTTTAATAAACCAAGGATGGTTGGTAAAGGACTACTGAGTCAGTGTGTAAGTGTCACATTTAGGGTACTGGTCTTATACAGCGAATAGAGCTCAAAAGCTACTTTTTAAATGGAAATTTGGGGGGGCCGTCTTATGCACCCCGACGCCTTATAGGCCTAGATATACGGTATTGATAATACAGTATATGCAGTACAGGGAACTAGTTTTTTGTGCGCCCATCAGCCGCTTGACTCAGCCACCAAGCGTCAGTTTGGCTTTGTTGACAGTGGAATGAACATCAATTTTGTTGGTGTCTTGAATATTTTTGCATTTTTGCATTAAAATTATTGGTCATTCTGAACCAATATATAGCGCAGTGCAGTGTTGATTTAAATAAAAATATCTTGAATTACACCTAGTGAACTTAAAATTTTATTGGTGAAACTACTGCATCAAGCATGGGTCCCCTGAAAGGTGATTTCTCTTCCATCCCCACTTCCTTCTCTTCTCCCTTCTCCTCCACCCCCACTTCTAATTCCCATCATCATCATCATCAACCAGGAACCTTCTACATAAACACCTCAAAGTAAGTATACTTTACTGCATTTTTTTTATTTATTTTTATTTTTTTACTTTGTATGTACTTTTCTGTGAGCTGGAATCAATTACCCAATATCCCATTGAAACAATGGATTCCGTTAACGGAATTTTCGGTCATCGAACGACTCTGTGGAATGAATTGTGTTCGTTAACCGAGGGATCACTGTATATGGTATATATATTTAAGTGAGAGTGGCAATGTTTAGGCTCCTCCCACTACCCCAGACTTCATGTAACTTGTCCTCATGTAAAGCATCTGTACTCTTTCATTAATAATATAATATCTAATGACCTAATGTGATTTATTGTAATTCTACAGTATGTTCAGTATTCATTTTTTTTTTATTTAGGTGGTTGAGACATTTTTTTCACTTTATTTTTGCAGTAAGAGACGGACATTGGACGAAGGAAGAAGATGAGAGGATGGTAAAAGGGATTATGAAGGTGATGAACGTAAAGTCCATTGAAGAAGTCCTGTATAAAAAAATCCCATGGATAAAAATTATGCCTTATGTTAAAGTAAGTACTGTAATTTATGTGAACTGCTGCTGCTTAGTGACTATAGATGGGGATTTTTAGTTGGCGGTACAAGCTCCACCGCCTCTCTTGTAACTCATCGGCTCATACTATTAATATACAGTATTGTAAATTAATCCCAAAATAACTGTTAAGGATACCCAATTTTGGCTCATTTTACTGCTAAATTTAATGTATGTAAAGATATACGGTAACTGCTTGAAAACATTTACTTTCAAGATACGTATGAGTGGAATAAAAAGGTTTAAATAAAGGCTGTTTGCCGTCGAAGTCGCAAACAAATTCACGCTTTCGGAGAAGTGGAAGGGGGGGGGGGGGAGCTTCTTAGCATAGTATCATCGGCTAAAAATAAATAAACAACTATATTAAACTATTGTTACAGTCAGTCTACCTACCTGCTGTTGTCAGGACTTTAAAGTAGATTTGTTGAGTTAGTATGTTACAGGACCAACATGATACGCTAGGCGTGATGGATCTTGTATACAGTATAGTCATGAGAAAACCTTGTATATTCTCTACTTTCCTGCCTGCTTAAATTATCTCTCTCAGAATTCAACAATCAAATCTACTCTCACTGTTTTATGCTTCACTGTACAAAGTTGTATATTTTTCGACCAAACTCTAGAGAATTTGTATTTTTTTTATTCTGAAGGAAATTTGGTTTAAAAGTTGTAATTATGAATATCTAGAGTGAGTTTGATAATTAGAATAATCCAATATCAGTTTTTTTATAGTTTTGCCTAAGTAAGAAATTGTAGCAGTAATATATTGTGTTGAGTGTCAGTTTAGTTCTTATCTCAATTATAGTTCATAAATTTCACACATTTATAAATTAAGTTACAGATTAATATTAAAAAATGTAAAATATTCTTTTATTCTTTTTCAGACCAGAAGATACCATAACTTAAGACAGAGGTTCATTTACAGAGTGAACAGGGGAGATTTTAATAATTAAAATAAGGTTAATCAAGGTCATTCAGATTTAAGTTAATGGAACAGTATTTTCTCCCTTGATGATCATTAACCCTTAACTAGTAGCTAAAGGTTCTCTACTCTGTTCCCATATGTGCAAAAATGGAATACAAGGAACTTCAAACTTCTAGTACTGATGGCTGCTCTTCCCTACAACTAACTTCCACTGATGATGACCAACCTCCCCCAATGTCCTCTGAAGAAAGCAACCCTTGCCCACAGCTAACTTCTTCTGATGATAAGTACAGTGACCCCTCGTTTAACGAACGCCTCGGTTAACGAAATTTCGGTTAACAAACTGCCTTCCATAAGGATCTTCAATTCGGTTAACGAACAAAAATTCGGTTAACGAATTTTTTACGAAACGACCTCAACATGTTTTCGCTTGCACTGACCGGGCAACCAGCTTTAGTATCAGTCCGCCAATACATTAATCGGTTCTAGGGCTTAAATTCCTTACTATTTTAGTAAATATCAAGAAGTTTATACTATTCAATAATTTTTAAAGTTTAATATTCAATTTTTTAGTCATTTTAACAATTATTGAACATAATTGAAGGTAAAGTGACTAGTTTAATGCGCGGCATCCAGCCTCTTAACACAGCAAACAGGCGTTAGTCTCTCTCTGTTTTCACTAGAGGTAACATCTTGCTTGAGACTCTGTTCAACTAAAAGCTTTTTTCTGTGTTTCCAAGCAAATTATTAGTCATTTTGAAATATATTTTACATATTGACAATATATAATGCAGTGCAGTGTTGATTTAAAAAACATAATCTTGAATTACACCAAGAGAGCTAAAATTTTATGGGTGAAATGGCACCATGGGGTGACTTCTCTTCCACCCCAATGCCTTCTCTTCTTCCTTCTCCTCCACCCCCATTCTAAATCCCATCATCATCATCATCATCATCCAGGAGCCTTCTACATACACACCTTAAAGTAAGTGAACTTTTCTACCATTTTTGTTGAATTTAGGAAATTTTCGGTGAGCTGGAACCAATTACCCACAAACCCATTGAAACAATGGTTTCGGTTAACGAACGACCTTCTGGAACGGATTGAGTTCGTTAACCGAGGGGTCACTGTAATCTTCCCGACAGCCATGAGTACTGTACTGGGTTAAGACTAAATAACTCATACTTTAGTGTTAAACTGTTGTTACAGTCTGTGTAACTTTCCACTGCTGCTGCTATTGTTACCAAGAACTTAACATAAACTTGTTGAGTTAGTACTGTATATTACAGGACCAACTTGATAGGCTGGACAGGATTGACCTTGTTGAAGTTGCTTGAAATAAAATGTAATGTTTTTTATTCCTTACATTTTTAATTTTCATTATCCTGGGGCGATGTTCTTGTATGGAGGTGATGATGCCATGGGTAATGCTAAAACCCTGAGTAAGGATTAAGGAAAAGTTTATGGAGTGAGCAAGTGAGTGAATAAATGACTGAGTCATCTGTTACAGTACTGATTTATGTGGAGTTATGCCTCCTTTCCTCTCATCTGTTATGGTATAGTTGTTAAAGAAATACTAAGATACTGCTCTGCTATACCATACGCAGTGTTAATAAATTATCAGACACTTTTGAAAATTAATAACTTCAAGGATTTTATTGATACAGCAGTAATTTTATAAGTATAATTGACAAATAATATATGTTATTTTTTTCTTGATAGAATTTACATATGTGCTCTGTTTTGTCTGTAAGTTTGTTGAAAATGACCTCAGGGATAAGAACTTGGCAAGAGAATGTGGAAAATGACCAAAAAATTGTGATGATTATTTTGACGAAATTAAAGTGAGTGCATTTAAGTAGATATATATTCAAGCTGTCACATAACTTCATAATGGTAAATCATTGTAGTAACTAAATAAATTCAACCAAGGATAACCCAAAAGCCGTTAACCCAGTGGTGTCAAACTCAAAACCTTTCGAGGGCCAATTCTTATTTTAGTTACCCTCTTCAGGGCCAACACAAGTGCTATATCACATATTTGCAGGATTGAAGTTTACAGCTTCACACAATGCCTTACCTGGCTTACCAGGAATACCTCATTTGGGTTTGTCTGATCTTAAGTACGTAAAATTCATTTTACTAAATAAACGTGATTAAATCTATCTTTCATAATTTCACGGGATGATAAATTTTACCGTCATCCCGTGGGCCACACCTGAACATCCCAAGGGCCACATTTGGCCTGTGGGTCATGACTTTGACACCCCTGTCTTACACCTAACAAAATTTTTGACCAAAATATACTTTTCTCACAGAATTGAAATTTAAGGGGTTTAACTCATTAAGTACTTTTAGAATAACACACAAACCCTAAATTACACCTTGGAAACCCATAGTTGATGAGTAATTATTATTGAAAAAGTCAGTAAAATCTATCAAGGGTCATTTTAGCCACTAATTACTCCGCAATTGAATCGTGGACCACATAGTCATAATCAGCACTCTCAGGAGTACCCATACTGTGATTATCAGCAAAATCTAATTTTTGGCCCAAAATGTAAGTCTTAGACCTTACAAAATTTTTAACCAAAATATACTTTTTTCTCAGAATTGAAATTTAAGTTGTTTAACAAATTAAGTACTTTCAGAATAACACACAATCCCTAAATTACACCTTGGAAACCCATAGTTGATGAGTACGGTAATTAGCATTGAAAAATGTTAATAAAATCTTTCTTGGGACATTTTGGCCACTAATTACTCTGCAATCGAATCGTGGACCACATAGTCATAATCAGCACTCTCAGGAGTACCCATACTGTACTGTGATTATCAGCAAAATCTAATTTTTGGCCCAAAATGTAAGTCTTAGACCTTACAAAATTTTTAACCAAAATATACTTTTTTCTCAGAATTGAAATTTAAGTTGTTTAACAAATTAAGTACTTTCAGAATAACACTCAAACCCAAATTGGCATCCCGTGATATCGTCCTTGGGGATAGCCATGAATTTCCAATTACTACTGAAGTTAGATTATTTTGATGCCCAAAGCTCAGAGAATCTGATATTTGTAGTTTGATTATTGTCAGTTGTCTATTTAAGAAAGTAATTAATCTCCTGAAAAGAATGTCACACTCTTATCTCCAAGATCTCAATGTATACCCATAGAGGCCCCTTGTCTAGAAATCCCGCTGATGTTGTGAGAATGACGTTAACAGCGTGTGTATATGATGCCCATTTCACTTTTTTCTGGCCAGCTCAATTGCTGATTAAAATATAAAAATAGACATAAGAAAATCACCTGACCCATGGCATTGATTTTCATAGTTAAATGTACAGCGACTGAGTTGAATGTAATTTCTGTCATTGCGTGATTAGCCTTTCTGGCATGTGTAGTGCACAGGCCTGAGTTGCCAGTTAGCCGTATATAAACTCGTGCACGAGGAGCAGTGTCACATCTCTGACGCTGTTCCATCATATCTCATGCACAGTGTGTGTGTTAGCTGAATACCCTACAGTCACCGGGGGACCGGTAGCTGCATACCAGCTGGCTGTCTTGCAGGATGTCATTAATTTGGTACGATTAAATTGTGTGATTCCGCACCCTGGAACTAGGCCCGAACTCCCTCGCAGTGTGTCGGACTGCAGCCGACCCTTACAGCGCTCTTCGTTTGTTGTGGTGACACCAGTGTGATACCCTGGGGCACTCCTTATAGTTATATGGGCCAAAGTATTATTGTTGTATATGATTGGGGATAATTAGCAGAAATATAATTATCATAAGAAAAGATTAATATAAAATATAGATATGAAGCAAGTATATAAGTATTGAAGAATAAAGAGAATAAATATGAAATGTGAATAAAGAGACCCTTACAGTACTGCCAGCAGCACCCTAACCCGGGGCTGTAAGGGTAAAAGGCTTATTTAATATTTGGGGTCGGTCCATAAGATGTATAGTGTGACAGTTCATAGCACCAGCCAAGAGAGTTAGACAAGTGACACATTACTCTGGTAAAGACAAAAATTAAAAGCTTGGATTGAATTTAAAGAAGTCAAAACTAACATGGCCAATGGTTTCATGTAAACATTCAGAGTACAGTTGTCTTAGTCCCACATTAGCACGTATGACTGACATGTAGAAAGGCAACTACAGTCTTTTGAGCCAAAGTCGTCCGCCTAGGTGACTCCACACTCACACTGATGTCTTCAAAGACTGCAGATATGAAGAAAATTATCTCCCAATGTAAAGATAGGTCACAGCTCAAGACTGAAGAAGCTGCAAGTCCAGAAAACTGTGAGGGCAAACTTTTTCGGAGTGAGAATTGTGAACTCTTGGAACAATCTATCAGAAAGTGTTGTGACGGTGTAGTGGATTTCTCCCCTACAAACGCTGTTTGTCGCTGAGTAGCCGACCCCACCAATTCCCCAGTGTATGCCTCGTGGTCTAGGTCAACCAGCGCCGCCATACATCACGGAGCGGGGGTCAACTACTAAGCCACGCCTACCCCCGCTATTTAAGACCTGACCTCGTGGTGACCTGTCTCTTTCTACCTCCACCAACCAGCCAGCAACACCTCCTCCTCCTCCGCCTGCCTGGTGGTCCTCGCTCCCGCTGGAGGGCATGGCGACCCACAAGCTGGTCCTCCTCTGAGCATCCTCACCATCCAGCTCTCTCTACATCACGCTTGTAACCATGCTGCCTTCCCAGCACCAAGCTGCATTGTACATCCTATACAACATGTATATAGAGAGCATATTGTGAGTTTCCTTTCTCCATCCCATCCTGAGTGAACACAAACAATCTCATTACCCCACAACGGCACCGAGTGTGAGCTCTTTCAAGACAAGACTTGACTAACACTGGAGCGGGTTCAGGTACATTCAGGAGCCGGTGCATGCCCAGTGTTTGCCAACAGTGCGCAACAGAGACGTGACCGATCGCCCAAGCGGCTGACGAGACGATCAGTGGTGAAGAGGATAAAAGAAAAAGAGATAGTTCTTCAGTAAAATTATCATACAAGTACAATGTAGACAAAAGTCATTCTCATAAGGCTGAGCATGAACTATAATATAGATCGGTACTGTATTATATATGGTCTACAATCTCGTTTTTAATTACTGTAAGGTGAAGTCTACAGAGTTAACAAGGAGGATGATTAAATATTTACCTTCGTTTCCCTGTTGCTGCGGCTGGTGGTGGACCCGTTCTTCCATAACTAGTACTGCCTCCACAGTTTCTTTCATGTGTGTGTGTGTGTGTGGGTGGGTGTTTGTATATGTGTGTGTGGGGGGGGGTTGTGTATGTGTGTGTATGTTGGTGTGTGTGAGGTATGAGGTGTGTTATATGTGTGGGCTGTTTGTGTGAGTATGTACAGTATGTTGGTGTGTATGTGTGTGTATGTATGTCAATGTCGATGGGTGTGGGTGTACAGTTGAGAGAGTGCCATTATCACTACAAATGTACGATAAAGGTGAAAATATTTTTTTGTGTTTTAAAAACGCATCATTACTTTTTTTTTTGAGAATAAAGAAGAGAGTGGGAGTAATTTCCACTAATGTTCTATATACTGTACTGATATGAGGTCACCCCTCCCTCTGACGTCACCCCCACACTGACGTCACCCATCTTCTCGTCTCTGATTCGTCAAAGCTTCAGGTGACTGGCACAAGAAGGTAATTTTCCTTATTTTTCTATCCAGGCAACAACATCATTTATATTGTGCTCATGACACCTTTCGATACTTTATTAGGAGAGATTATTTAAGGACAGTGTGTTTTTTATTTAATTATTATCGGTTATCATATGTGGGAAATTTGACTGGGTGTATCTAGCAACTGGTGTGGCAGAGGATATAAGGCCTGGGTGACCTGCCTCGCCCCGAGTTCATAACGCGCGCACCTCCAGCTAAGAACCCAGCGAGCGGCCCCCAGTCAGTCAGTCCCTCGCCTGCACTCTTCCTTAGTTCACCTCCACCCAACGAACGGTAAGTCTCACCGCTGCCAGTCTCAGGTACCTTGGTAAGAACTAGATACACATGTAGCTATCAGTCATGTATCTCGGCTAGAAATAGACACGTGTATCCGTCACACTGACTTATCCCAAAAAGCAGACACATGTAGCCGCCAGTCATGTATCACGGCCAGTACGAAACACCTTTATCTCTCAACTCCAAACAGCTAATGTATAGTATAAAAAAGCACTCGTTCTATATTTAGAAGACTCGGATATTGAAGCAACTTATATATTGTGGTTATAAGACATGACTGTGCTTCAACAACTAAGGCCTTTAAACGCGCATACTTACATTAATAATATACACGAGTAACTAACAGTTAATAACTTAAGAACATAAGCATGAACGAAACTGCAACGAGCCCATACCAAGCAGCCCTGTTTACACCCAAACCCTATCGCTGATATATCTGTTAAACTTATATTTGAAGCTTCCCAGCGTGTTTGAGTTAATGATCGGTAACTTGTTCTACCCATCCACTACCCTATTCCCAAACCAATGTTTACCTGTCTCACCCCTAAATCCAAATTCGTCTAATTTAAAACCATTGCATGAGTTCGCTCCTGGTTGAATAGTTTAAGTAAATTTGTTATCACCTTTTCTTTAGCCCTGACTTCTATTTATACTCGTACACCTCGATCATATCGCCCCTCACTCTACGTCTCAAGAGGGAGTGCAAATTTAGATGCTTTTATCTGCCTCTATACAGCCTATACTCAAGGTTTCTAATGCCTGGGATTAGCCTTGTCAACCTCCTCTGAATGCCTTAGCGTCAGTTAATATAAATAAATGTTTTTGATCATTATATCGTATCGTACTGATTATTATTAGATGTATCAATATTTCAATACCCGTCTGTATATCCTTGCTATCCTAAAATAGCACTTAACACCTATAGTCCTCACGGCAGATATATCATCAACAAGAAATTGATTAGGATTATATATTTTTAAACACATTTGAGACGATATGAAGCCTCTAATTATTAAAACTGGGAGCTGGAAAGAATATACAGTATTGGGTGATGGTGGGAGGGCCACGGAAGAGAGTTTGGCGGGTAGGTGCGCGTGTGTGTGTGAGGCAGCAACAAGTGACTCACTCCTTCACTTCTTAACCCTATCACCTGTAGGCTGCCTCAGAAAAAAAGTTTAACAGAAGAATTAGTTCCTTGGAGACATTATATAAGCTGAATTTATCTTAACATCAACTACCCCCATAACTTTAACAGATGAAAAACTTACACTTTCAATCTTTAGAATAATTTGGCGAATGTCGCTGTTGAACTACTTATAAAATTGGGCCAGAGTTTAATCTTTAGGTGATATAAGATGGGGTGGAAATTCTTTAAAGTGATCCGTTCCCTGATTTTTTTTTGCAGCAGAGCAAATTTATATATTGTTGGTGTTATAACCACGAAGTGGAGCTAATTTATGTGTTGAGCAAGAACCTCAAGTCAAGTATTACTCAACAATATCTAAAATTTCTCCAGCCTGTGACTTGATGCAAGGATTTTGTACTAGAGACAAAATCCTTGGTTGAAGTCATTGAGTTTCACTATATATATATATATAATAAATTAAGGATCGTAGTGAAAAAAAAACCTTCGTTAACTGTAGATATAATAAATTATGAATCTAATATTTCAATTTAACGCCGACGGCGTTGATGCCACTTCATGTGGCTGTGTAGGCCGATGCAGGAGCCGCAGTTTTTGTCGCAGGTGGGGCAGGGGTGTTGTGAGCCAGGAGGGTCGACTCCTGCAGCGCGTTGGTGTCCTCGGAAACGTCTTCCTATCCTCTCCCGGTCAAGTTGTCCTCCAAATGCTCAGTGCCTCGTGCAGGTAGACCGCCACACAGGTCGGTCAACCGCCAGCCTCTCCAAGGCGGGCTGTAGGTTGCAAGTCGGATTTCTTGAGAAGGTCTTTGGAATGGTCTTTGAATCTTTTCCGCTGACCGCCAGCAGTTCAATTGCCGTGATGGAGTTGGCGTTATAGTATTTGGCGAGGCGGACGGTCCTCGGGCATTTTGATGACAATCCCCAGCCAGCGGCCCAGCGGAGGTGTCGTCGAGCAAGGACTGTTTCAATGCTCGTGGTTTGGATGTGGAGGTAAATCTCGTCATAGGTCACTCGACTCTCCCGAGATAACTCCAAGATCCGCCGGTATCGGAAGAACATGAAACTTGTAATTTGGCGTTTAAAAAACTTTACATTGCATCTAAATAACACAATTACAGCCGTGTGCGCATTAATTTCAACAGAGCAACACGGCCAAAAGGGAGCAAGCAGTCACATCTAAAACAGTCTGGGTTGAAGTGTTAGACTATGAATTAAATAAAATTCTTTGGTGGTACATTAAAAAAGTCAATTTAACCTGGTCGCCAGGTAAAATGATTCCTAGATCACCATATACTGTATATATGATGGTAGGCAGTGACGGGATGAGAGTGTAAGGACACGGGTCAAATACCATAAATCGGACATCTTAATTTTGTTTCAGTCACCACTAAATAAGAAAAATATTATGATATTATGTTTGAGAAGTTTTTATATATAAAGAATTATGAATACTAATAACTCCACATTTACAACAGTTTATTATTTGTAGGTCTGGCAGCAGCGATTCTGACTGGTCATATTAATACCTTTGTTTCCCGTCTACGGCTGCGTTCACACCACTACGGACTCTACGTGAGTCCGTGACTCGCCATTCAAGTGGACATTATTTTGTTTGTAATTTTGCAGAAACCGTTCACACCAGGGGAGTCGAGTCGAGTCACACTGAATCGAGTCGAGTCGAGTCACACTGAATCGAGTCGAGTCGATTATGAATACGGCCAGACCCATTTTGTCAGTCATCGCGAGTCCGTTGTGGTGTATCTCAGTTACCGATAAGATTTAATGTTTTTTTTTTAATTTCTCAACATAATGTTTCAATATGATTTGTCAATTTTATCCTTCAAATATTACTTTACCTATCGATATTATGTTTCAAATCAAATACAAACTTTACCTTAAAAATATGGCTATTCTTCAACTCCTATGGCACGTCTGTAGTTTGTATCCATTCCTGTCATATTAACCAGCTTTTTGAAGTTTTCCATTGTTATTCCAAAGAAACGGTAGAATTTGTCTGGGTGATTTAGCAAGTCAGGAAATAAAATGACTTAAATCACCAATATCTAGTCTTTTGGTGTTGAGTTCATGCCTCCATACTCGATTCCTCTTCCCCTTACGCCGCCGAATCCACAACAGAGTATGTATGGCTGGGAGAGAATGTGTGTCCATACTGCTTGACTTCCGACAGGATATTGACAAACGTGGTACGTGACTCTTCTTGACTTTCTGTGTGAACGGAAACGAGTCAAACTGATTCGAGTCAAATGATTCTGATGACTCGACTCGACTCAACTCGACTCGTTTAGTGTGAACACCGTGCAATTTTATGGCAGTCAAGTGGTACGTTACCTTTACTCTTGGACAGACCTCTGCGTGTGTCTGACTATCACTAAAAAGGTAAATATTGTAAAACTTTCTATTAATACAAAACTAAGATTTATATATTCAGTTTACGGACAATTATTATTTAACTCTACTGACTACGGGTAAATAATCCCTGTAGACTATAGTGTTGAAGATAGTTTGGTTGTCAAAATCACATCTTCCAAGGTTACGTACTATTGGCTTCGGTCACTTATGCAACATTATTATTATTATTATAGATGATGTAATAACGTGCACATAACTTGAGACGTGTTCAAACTACACCATGTACTCAACACACAGGGTTGCGTAGCTTACTAAATAAATGTGGTATTAAACAAAGGATACTGAGAATTGGTGTACTTAACTGAACACTGAGACATACGTAGCATGAGTTAGTTGTTCTACAGTACATATACACAGACATTGATATATTTCATGAAACACTAAGTTGTCGTAGGAGCTACCGCTAATGAGTGTGTTGGCGTGTCTGTAGTTTCTGGGGTGTAGGCTAGGCTAGGCTAGGTTATGTTAGCGTTTCGGTGTTCAATAGCAAGGTGAAATAAGCTGGAGGACTACAGTAATCTTAAGGTTAAATAAGCTGGGGTAGTTAATCTCCAGATGAAATAGACCGGGGTTAAAAATCTTCAAGTAAAATAAGCTGGGGTGGCTAATCTTCAGGTGAACCGTAGTTGGTTTTGTGAGAGCCATCATCTATACCGCTAACCCTTTCATCCCCTATCACTTCAAAATCCCCTTTAGGTCCTGTAACTCAACGTGTGGGGGGGGGGGGGGGGGGTCCTCGACATAACGTGAATTGCAGATTAGACAAAACCCTCCAGTGTGAATATAAACAACGGGGGATGACTACAGTATAAATTTAAGGCCCGTACCGTAAATACAGCTCCAGCACGGGCATTCAAGAGCGCCTGGCGTACTCCTCTATCCCTCCATTACACTTTTATATTACAGCAGAGAAATGTTGTGGCGCTGTTTTGTGAAGCTGTTTTATGGGTGTATTTTTGTGTGCTTTTTATCCTGCTCCTTTTTATAATGGTATTTCTCGAATCTTTTGTTGTTGTTATTATTATTATTATTATTAGTAGTAGAAGTATTTGTGCAGAATGGCTGAAACACACACACACACACACACACACACACACACACACACACACACACACACACATCCTCGATGACATGTAAAGATGTTATCACGTTATTCTTCTCTCCCCTCGCCACCATAATTCCTTCCTCCTCATCTTCCTCCCCCTCTGCGTACTCTTCCTTCTCCTCTCTCCAGCCATTACTGTCACATGCTAATTTCTTTGTTTCTGGGCTGATCACCTAAAGACGGGCAGGTAAAGGGTAAGGGAGCCTCGTGTAGTAGGAGGGCGTGAGAACAGCAGATGTTTGTTACAGCAGCGGGGAGGAATGGTTGAATGTGTGTGTGTGTGTGTGTGTGTGTGTGCATCAAGGGCTATACCTCACCC